CCCCCCCTCTTCTTCTCTTAATCCTCGGTGTCACAATCAAAGAGATCTCAAAAATTATTTAACTAATCAGAGCAGAAAAAAGTAAAAAAAAAAAAAATTATAGACAAGTTATCATAAACAAGTTAAATACAAATTATATTGAAAAATCAAGAAAATTAACATTCAAATTCATATTAAAGGAGCAATTTCTACTCATTTTTTTTTAACAACCATTCAACCAAGCAAAAATAAATCATATTAAGTAAACAAAAATAATACATTGTCCTTGACTTATTTTCTCCATTAACCCTATAACGATTAGGACTACAGGCTAAAATTTATATATTTGAAAGCCCTTAAAAAATGGATATTATAACATGTGTCATATGTTTATATTTGTCAAAGGTAAAAATAACATTTTTGAACACTTTCCTTACACCATAACCATTGAAGTTAGAGGTAAAATTTTTTTTAATTAACAGGCCTTTAAAAGTTCGACTTTAACGAACATGTCTCACACTCCCTTATCTCAACTCTATGGGCAAATTCATAGGGCCATCTCCTCCATCCATATTAGAATAAAATAGCTCAATCAGGATAGGGTTAAGGGATCTAAATATCGTTGGTTTTATTGAAATACATGATTTTTTTTTGAAGGAATCGTGTGAGACTTTGATTTTCTTATCTTTATATTTTTTATTCAATGTCGTAAACCTTGTTAAATTATAATCGTTGCAAAGATTAGACAAATTAGACAAATTTATTTTGTTGCAATGACTCAATTCTATTCAGAATCATGATAAAAATAAAATTGGTATTATAAGGATCGACTGTAATGGTTTAAGTTAGTTAGTTAATTTTTCCCAATAAGGAAAATGTCATTAGATGTGTCTACTCAAAAACCAAGCCTCCTATCTTTTTCCTTAAGATTTTGTCGATTGAACCTCTTGGAAAAAAAAACCAAATTCAACATATTTTGATGCCGTCCATATAATATATAGTATATATATTTTTTATTCAATGTCGTAAACCTTGTTAAATTATAATCGTTGCAAAGATTAGACAAATTAGACAAATTAGACAAATTCATTTTGTTGCAAAGACTCAATTTTATTAAGAATCATGATCAAATTGGTATTATAAGGATCGATTGTTATCGTTAAAGTTAGACTTAAATTTTTCCCAATAAGATGTGTCTTCTCAAAAAACCAAGCCTCCTAACTTTTCCTTAACATTTTGTCGATTGAACCTCTTGGTAAAAAAAAATCAACATATTTTGATGCCGTCCATATAATAGATGCTTTTTTATTTTATATAATAGGGCTGAATACGTAGTTTTGAAGAGTGGTATAATAAACAGAATAATATTAGAGTGGAATTTAGACAATCCCTCGGTATGAATTTTTACAGTCCTTTTCAACCTGAAAAGGAGTTCAAAGTGTACAAATCATAAATGTTCACAAATTTTATGCAGTAGAGTACAATAATAAGTATTTTCCCTAGACTATCCATTTCAATTTCGAATTTTTTAAAGTTGTTAAATAAACTTCATAAAATTAATAAAGTGAATAAAAAACATCATATGATTTATAGTTTTTTGTGAAGAGAGGGTTGTGTAGGAATTTATTAAAGAGAATGTTCAACTAAACAGTATTAATCAATGTTCTAATTCAGGTTCATCAGTCCTCGGTTGATGTTGTCCTAGGTCTTCTAGAGTGGAAGAGTGTGAGAGGTCAGATGGGTTGACCTTCTCCTTCCAGTGCTTGTCGTAGAGTGTTGAAGACCTGGGGTTTTTTCCATCATCAAGAATTAGATAACAATACGAGTTACGAAGCATAATAAATATTCTTTACAAAATTATGATATAACAAACATTAATTATATACGAGCACTATTTAACTTCCTTTTCTTATTTACTAGTTAGAATTGCATAATGTAAAGTATATATAAACTAATCGGTTCTTTATGAAGGGGGGAAGTGGTACAAGAAAGGGAGGGGGAGGGTTTATGACCACTAAAAATAGTCATCTTTATGGGAATTTGTCTAGACGTTAGGGATGTAATTATGTCTGAATAGGGAGAAGAAAGAATCAGATTATGACAGCGGAAATCAAGGATTAAGGAAAACAGGGATTCACTACAAGTTATAATGGAAAATCATCGTTTGTAAAGTGGAAGCCATAGAGTCTATGTGAAATGATAATTGGTCAATTATGAAACCAGCCTATTTCATAATTTGATTTTCTTTCAATATCAATTTTAAATTTTCTATAAAATGATGTTCCAAGGCCCAAAAGGTTATATAGTACAAATATGTGAAGTACACCTGCAGTATGGAAACAAAACATCTCATTCTTAAATTTTAATTGAAAGCACTCAACTTGTGAATCGGACGTGCCACTCTTCAAATGGAGATTCACTTGAGATTACGTCTGCAGTCATTTTAACCTCTATTCTTGTTTTTAACCTCCATTCTTGTTTTTAACCTCCATTCTTGTTTTTTGCTCATTTTTAAGCAAATTTGGCTCTGCGTACATCTAGACACCAGTTCTCTCTGGGCGGAATTTGTAAACAAGAATAGATGCCTCAGTGTTCGTTTAGTATCCGAGGAGGTTAAAAGCATTGCACTGCCATTGGCTGGAGTTCCATGGTGACATGTTCCAGACGCATAAGTAATTATTATCAATTACATCTTGAAAAATTATTCTAATTTAAATAATAATAGGAGCAAACTTGAGTTTGTCAGGCTCCTCTGAGATATCGTAGTTTTCAGATTGGTTGTGTATTTGCTGAATATGATCTGTTTAATGCTAAGAATCTTTTACAAAATCTTACATATATATACGTTTTGGTATCATTTTGACACAGTTTTATATCAATTTCTCGAGACAGGGGCATCAGATAGATGTCTTATAGGTAATGCTCAACTCCTGAGATTCTTAGATATATTTCAGCATATTTCCCCTGTCATTTTTCCTGTACAGTCCCTTTAAACTGTTCATTTTTCCTGTACAGTCCCTTTAAACTGTTAATTTTTTCCTGTACAGTCCCTTTAAACTGTTCATTTTTATTTGCGGTTTCTCTGCGAAATAAACACTTGGCAAGTAAAGTAAACAAATGTTTTTTTTCACATTTTTTGTGAGATTGAGGTTTCAATGGTACAGTGGCAAATCGGGAAAATTGTCACTTAGCTTTACTTGGAAGGTGAATAGAAATTACGCTTATTATAGAACATTTTACACTCTAGTATGCCAAGTCCAATAGCGCTTGATCCAATCAGGGTTCAGTCATGTATTTGTTGTCTATTCTGAACCAATAGAAATTGTATGGCGTTAACATCTATCTTTCTATCTAGCTCATTATCCAATTAAAGACATGAATCCTTTTATCAGCGCTATATCAGCAAAAGGAAATATTTACTTGCGCTGAAACTATAGTGTATAGAAAAGTTATATCATTCATAATTTTAACAATTTATTGGGTTTCACATAAAACAGTAGAAAAACTGTATTAACAAAGGTCTGTCTAGAATCCTTATTGTTAAATAACATATTTGTATTTAATATAATTAGATATCTCAAATTTCTTTCTGCGAATCACTTTATTTACTCAAATATTTAGATATATACAAGCATTGAAACAAGATTAGTTGGGTTGGGACATTTTATAATAAAAAACTAAAAACACGAAAATGTACTTAGTTTGTTTCAAAATTGATTGATTGATTTGATTTCCGCAGATAAATTTATTTTCCATGACACAGCAGCTAGATTCCCGCACTCGAGAAACTGATAATTTGGCGCAGGTTTTATTAAACGAGAATATTTAGTTACATTTTAGTATTTACCTTTAAAACATTTTTAGAAATCTTTCAAACAATAAATATACATAATTTACGGCAACTGCAAGACTTACATTAGTAAAGCAAGAGCTGTGGAACTGCAGTGTCGGCGTGTCATGGGTATTTCTTATAATTTTGAAAATTCGCTAAGGATTTTTAATTGTGTAATGTTTCTCATATATTTCTAACAAAAATCCAGGGCACACTTAAAAATAGACGACAATATTTTCACAGTATTGTATCTCTTGTATCTCTGAAGTACCTAATTCTTTCTCTAACTTAAATTCCACAGATACAGTTCCTCTACAGGTTCCTTGTGCTGTTTATACAGCGTTACTCACAAAGGTTGCAACGATTTTTTTACACATTGGATCCCTGCGACCAAAAACAAATGTTTATTTTGTTTTAAAAATAATCAATTAGATTTTAAAAAGGCTCAAATTTTAATAAAAAGAGATGGATTTTTATATCTTTAGATTTAATCAACTTTAGGTTATCGGAAAAGGCGTTTTCCTACTTTGTAATTTCAACTTACAGTCCCTTTAAATGAATTGTAGGTCGTCATTACAGGCGCATTTTTGTGAGTAACCCTGCACCTTCGCACCCATGCTATGGATGCTTAAAGGTTCAATTCCATGGTTGAAGGTCCCCACTTCCTAGTAGAGTATAGACTACTGCTTCTACTAGTAGTATACCAGCTGTTATGTAGAAAACTATATGCCAAGGAGCTAAACCTGTCTGCCCTTCAGTCAGTAGGCCAACTAGGAATGGAACAAGAAAACCTGAAAAATAGATAAAAAAGTGGTCGTTTAAAAATGTTTAGTGGTATCGTATACATAGATTTAATTTGGAAAAGAATGGTACCCTATTATATATATCACATCTAGTAAGTAAAGTAAAATCTTTATTTTGCCTAACATTCGTATTTATTAAACACTTTCATATTAAAATTTCATGACTTTTAACCCTGTCCCGATTGGGCTTTATTTTACCCCTAGAGTTGATACAGGGGGAATGTGACACATGTCCCCCCAGTACAACTTGTCAAGGCCAGGCGAATTAAAAAATACCTGGAACTGTAATGGTAAGGGTGCAATGGAGGTTTTTTAAATAGGTTAAAAAGTCCTTTTGAGAAATTTTAACATGTTACACATGTTGTAAAATCTATTTTTCGTGGCCTTTTTAAATAAATAAATAAATTTTAAATATGTAGCTTCTATATCTTTATATTTAAAGTTGTTATCTCTTGGTGTCTGTCTGTTTGTTTGTCCAATCATAACTCAGGAACCCTTNAAATATGTATCTTCTATATCTTTATATTTAAAGTTGTTATCTCTTGGTGTCTGTCTGTTTGTTTGTCCAATCATAACTCAGAAACCCCCAGACCGATTTGCCTCAATATTTGGATGGGGTACTCGGGAGACCCAAGGGAATATTCTAAGCTTTTGAGATTCTAAGTTGAATGGGTCAACTTAAACATCGAAAAATAAATATCTAGATCTTAAAAAGTTTAAGGTTAGACGTTGTATAGAGAAAAAAAGCAAAGATTGGGTGGCCCCCCCCCCCACTAAATCGTCATACGGGTAAAGAAATGGTAATTAAAGAATTTTAAAGTTTTTTTTTAATGCCGGTTGGGATAAAATAGCTCATATCTGTTTGTTTGTAAAGCTACAAATCTAAAACATTCTTTCACAGCAATGCTTAAAAGGTTACATTCTACAGAATTCAATTCACCTTTTTTTGAGCAAAAAATTAAAATTAGTTTGGAATTCATTATTTGAAAATGTTTTAATCGGCGAACTTTTAACAAGTTTTACATCACTAAACATCAAACGAAAAAAAAATTGATATCGCTAATACATTTTGCACGAACATCCCCTTTTGTCATCAAATATACTAATTAATGGAAAGGAATTGAGTCTTTGCAACAAACTCAAATTTTCTAATCCCTATATCTTTGCAACATTATGGTGTAAAACTTATTAAACTCAATTAATTTTAAGAAAACTAAAAACAAAACTTTTGATTTTTTATTTTAAAATTGTGAACCTGGTATAGTGGCTAGCATGTTTGTGACTGCCATCAGAGTTCCAGCAAAGTTCGGAGCCAGATCGCTGTGGTTTGAGAATACTCCGGAGAACATGCTTCCATAGAACATTACGGAAAGGATGGTGAGGGTTACGATGACCGGAATATTTTGTCCTGACCAGCAGATAATGAGAAGGAAAAGTGCAGGAAGTATACTTGACATGCAAACAGATATCTTCCTAGGATACAACAAATTGGNTTCATGGATAGGACATTTTATGGATAGGACATTTCTTTAAATACTTTTCATAGATAGGACATTTCTTTAAATACATTTCATAGATAGGACATTTCATAGATAGGACATTTCATATATAGGACATTTCATGGATAGGAAATTTCATGGATACGACATTTAGATAGGACATTTCATGGATAGGACATTTCTTTAAATAATTTTTATAGATAGGACGTTTCATAGATAGGACATTTCATAGATAAGAAATTATATAATCGGGACATTTCAAATGAAAGTTCCTTTCTTATTAAATGTCCTGTATATGAAATGTCATATCTATTAAATGTTCTGTCTATGATTTTGAATTTCTTTTTCTTTGAAATCTCCTACATATGAAATTTCCTATCTATGAAATGTCATATCTATAAAACATTCCAACGCCTTAAAATATTTTAAAAAGAATTACCCAAAGAGAATGAAACCAATTTTCAACTAGTTTAAAGTCATCATAATAGGTTTTTTTGGTTAGCATTTCTGTCAAAACACTGGGATACCTTGCAAGGGTGAGACTGATCAAATCCTTTGATCTTGCCCATTGAAGACCTTTGCTGTAGACTACAGACCACATCCAGTTAGCAAAGAAAGGAACACTAGAGATGATTGTATTTATTGTCATATCCACCTCCAGACCTGTTCTCATAAACAGGGGCAGCTCGATCAGCAGCATATACCTGAAATACAAACCATTGTGATTTTGGTATTTCAGGCGCTATATTTACTGTCTTCTGTTCTTGTTAAATGTTACTTTTGAACTTACACAACTAAATTCTAAAATAAATCTACATTTGAGAGTTGTTGTTAAATATTGAATTTGAACCAAGTTTTGACAAATAATTCAACAATATTTACTACTCAATATAAAATTGGCATCCTTAAAGTACAATAATGGTCAAATCTAGAAAAATCAAGTTTTATCTGCCTTTCTTTTCTTTGTGTTCACATATTAGATTATGTCGATTATTTGATGGTTCTTTAGCCCTATAAAGCTAAGTGAGGCAAAACGTAAAAAAAAACATTTAATTTTTAATGAGCTGGCCTTGACAAACAAATTGAGTCTTTACCACAAACTCTCTTCGTAAAATCCAAATATATTTGCAACACAATGTCGTTGACCTTAGATATGTCAAACTTTGAATTCTTTTGGATCAAATAATCTAAGTTTGAAATATCAAAGGCTTACGACATTGAGTTGCAAAGATATCAGGATTAGAAAATCCATCCATCTAAACATACAAGTGTACAATCGATTAGGATTTCCTTCTAGCTTTAACGCCAAAAATCATTTAGAATACTTGATCGAATAACCTTGTAATTTATAAGTGCAAATTATTTTTTCACCCTTAAACCAATTTGACCCTACCCCCCCCCCCTTGGGCCGAGTGCTGCGGCTGGGACAGGCAAGGGGGCCGAACGAAATAAAAAAAAGAACCAAAAAAAGATTCATAATCAATCTTTAACTAATTAACTTAAAATACAGAGAAAAGAGATACCATCCAAAATTGTTGCAAAAGTGTGAGAATGCGAGGGTGAGGAATGGTATTGAAGTTAGGATGGATCTCCAGGGTATAGATGGAGCAGCGGATCTAGAGCTCCGAGTACTGCTAGGTTTACTGTCAGATATCATCTTTTTCTCAATATCACTGGCAAACCTAGAGAATTATGTAATCTTTCCTTTTCTTTTATTTTTTACAATTATCCTGAATAAAGTTTTGATAATCTACATAATAAATGAATAAATAATTTTTATAAAACAAAAATAGCCCAATCAGGATATGGGTTAAAGGTTTACATGTCAATAAAAGCTAACAACCTGTTATCTGCCGGTGAATCAGTTACCAGAACAGTCCATAAAGCACACCAAACCAGAGACAAACCACCCTGTGATTCAGAAAATATCATAACTAAGGAAAATACACCTGGAACCGAAATATCTATGTTCACTACAGTGATAACCAGAAAACTTGGAAATAGTAAGACGACTTTTTATCAATACTTATGTGTATATGATGTTGTTACAAAGCAAAGGATTTTACTAGTTTTTATTAACTTACTAACAAATTGAAAAGGGTCTGTTTACATTGCACAATGGCTGTGTTCCATGCTTTTGGTCTAAAGTCATAACTGGCGTTTAAAAAAGGTATAGATATCACTGTAACAACTTTTAGAAGGAATTAAAGAATTTATTGAAAAACGATATTTTTTTTCTGAACGATGCCATTAATTTTAGTTCATAATCATTGTTCGTTAAATAAAACGAATAATACTTTAGTTCACAAACAATTTTGTTCGTTGAGAAATATTTTGTTACAAAAACGATGTACACATTACACACATGTTTAGAAAATCTTCTAAGAGTGCAATGAGAAGTTTCGTGATTGTATTAATTTTTTTCTTCAGGTTTTCTACCTGAATATAGAAAACAGATGCCCAGCCTAGTGTTGAAGATAGCAATCCAGAGGAAAGAATTGAAACAACAGTTCCCAATGAGGTTCCTTAAAAATAAATGTTTTCTTGAGTTTTTGCCAAAACCTTAAATTTTCCAATTCCTATATCAAGTTCAACCTTTTGTATTACAAACACTAACCATTTGATCTAAAAGAAATCACAGTTTTAAATATCTAAGGTCTATTTTACATTATATTACAATGGCTTGAAATTTCTTCATTCTTTGGTAGAAACCAATAGAAGACTAAGTCTTCTTTATTTGTTTTGAATTAAAGTCTATTCGTATCTAACGAATATTTATTCTCATCAAAAAAGTTGCAAATTTTCTAGCTGTGTAAAAAGTATTTGATTGTACACTAAAATGTGCAGCATTTTTGTATTTTTTTACATTGTAAAATGTGTATTGGGATTTGCTTTGTTAGCAGTATTTTTAATTTTACACTGTAAAATGTGTACTTGATTTTACATTAGTAAGAATTTTTTGGTTTTACACGGTAAACATTTTTTGATTTTACACTGCAGAAGTGTATTCTGATTTTACACTGTAAAAAGTGTATTTTGATTTTACACTGAAGAGGTGAATTTTGATTTTACGCTGTACAAAATTGTATTTTGATTTTACAAAGTTGCTAATTTGCTAGCTGTGTAAAAAGTACTTGATTTTACACTGTAAAATGTGCAGTATTTTGATTTTACACTGTAAAATGTGCAGTATTTTGATTTTAAACTGTAAAATGTGCAGTATTATGATTTTACACTGTAAAATGTGCAGTATTTTGATTTTACACTGTAAAATGTGCAGTATTTTGATTTTACACTGTAAAATGTGCAGTATTTTGATTTTAAACTGTAAAATGTGCAGTATTATGATTGTACACTGTAAAATGTGCAGTATTTTGATTTTACACTGTAAAATGTTCAGTATTTTGATTTTACATTCTAAAATGTGTATTTAGATTTACTTTGTTAGCAGTACATTTTAAATTTTAAGTACAGATGTCTTTCAGGTCGGTTTCCTCTCTTCGTTAACGATCGTTAACGAAGGGTCGTCGTTAACGACCGTTAAAGAAGTGTCGATCAAATTTAATCTTTATCTTCTTTATAGTTTTACCTTTTTGGAAAAATACAGTAAAACAACAATATATGAGAATATTGAAGTCAATATGAGAGTATTAGAAAGACAAAAACTCAATATTTCAATTTCTAAATTTATGCAACCTGACATCATATATATAACATTATATAATCAAACAAAATTCATAGTTTGAAATATCTAACGCTTGCATGCAAAGATATTGCGATTAAAAAATCAGAGTTTGTGGCGGCAAAGATATAATTCCTTTAAAGTTATGTCATGAAGTGATATAATACGTTTTTCTGGTTTCCGAATAAATTTAAACTCTAAACAGATTAAATTTTTAAAAAATTATACCATTACTAAAACTTGTGAACAATCTCTTTAATTACCTGAGTATGCAATTGATGAGATGGTTGATCTCTCATCAGGAGGACTCCAGGAGGCTATCATTACATTCATAGCCGGGAACGTAAACCCCTTAATAGACAAGATAATAAAACAATTTAAAAAAAAATTAGTAGAAAAATCTTTATTAAATCACTTATAAAGTAAATTGGGCGTTTTTAAACCACACAATTGTTGTGTCATCTGTTAAATGTACTATTTATAGTCTTAATTGAGTCTAAAAGTCGTCTTCCTATTCCAGAGTTATCTGGTTATCACTTTCTTATATTTTTGAAAATGATTAAAAGAAAATTTTATGGAAATGTTCTTATGGGAACATGTTTATGGGAACATGCATGGGAACATGCTTGTGGGAAAATGCTTATAAGAAAATGCTTGTGGGAAAGTAGAATACAAAAAAATGCTTGTGAAAAATTATCTCGGCAAACAGCTTCCAAAAATGGTTTCGAGAAAGGATTCTGAAATAATGATCTTTGGAGTACTGAAAGGTTCTGCCATGGTAATTGGAAACCCCTTATTTCGTTCCATAAATTGATTGTAAACCCTATTTTTTCGTCCCTGGTGAAAAGCTTGAGGGCTTCGACAAAAACCTGTGGGTCTCCAATACAAATGTGGGGTCTACAATGAGTTAATAAGTGCAGGGGTTATCCGTTGAAAATAATTCTCCGATAGTTCTCCAATGGTTGCCAGACTCTGATCACTGTGATCTTGCCGGGCTACATTTGTCGCAAAACACGCACTGGGCCCAACTCGACTGTACGTTGGGTAGTCCAGACTGGAAAGCACGAACTAAATGTATATACAATACATTTTGTGTTGGCTTGGATCATGCAAAAATTGGATCAATGTGCGTTAACTTACCCCCCCAAGACCTTGCATGACCCTCATGGCAATGAGCGCCTTGTAGTCCCAGAACGCCATCAAAGGAGAAAGACATGCTCCAAGACCGTTCATAAGAGCAGCAACCAGGAATACATACTTAGCACTATACAGTTCAGCCAGTCTTCCTCCAGGCAACTAAACAGAGGAATTTATTTACATAATGCAGTGGTGAATGTCAGATTTAAAACTGTACCCTATTAACCTATGTCTAATCAATTATGATCTGAATCCAACGTTTGAGCAGAAAAACTTCAAAAACGAAGATATGACCTCAAATTTAATTTCTAAGGGAAAAATGGCGGGAAACAAAAGAAGGAAAAATCAACAAAAATTTTAATTCATCAAAATAATCAGGAAGGATTTTACCCAACATAATCAACATAAAATCAGGAAAACCTATATTTTCAAAAAACGCGAAAAATGCGGGACGCATAATATTGAATTTTTTATTTTTTTTTCCCAATTTGAAAATGCATTCCTAAAGTTAATTGATAATCTGACCTTCATGTAAAATCTGAAGAAAGTAGCTTCAAAAATGAAGGCAATTGGCCCCATCTTGAAAATTTGTGTCATTTGAGGGGAAATGTGCAGATATTATATTTGTATTCTTGCATTTAATTTTTAATTTTCCTTTCATTATATTAATCACTTTTAGAACATTTATTTGAAAAAAATGTGTTGGTTTTTGCATAATATGATAAAGCAAACTTAAGAGAAGACACTTTTTTATATGATAATTATTCCAAATAGTTGTGGGCCTCTTAAAAATAAAAACATGAAAGTTAAAAACCGATGATGCCCATCCCTAGTCTTGAGTAAAATGCGTGTTCCAACTTACCTGGGTTATGAAGTATCCTATAAAGTAAGCGCTTAATATTGCGCCCTGCTGTTTAGAACTCCATTCAAAGGGTCCCATCTACTCAGAAAAATAAAAACGTAAAAAAAGAATTGATTTTTGTTCGTTAAAAAAATGTTGACTCTACCTCCTCTGTTGTTCCCTTGTCCAATCCATGATCATCTGTTACAGAGAAGTTTCCAATATGAGAACTGTTCTCGGCAGTCAATGCTGTTTGGATAAACAACAAATTGTAATTTCGTAAATACAGGAAGTCCCAACAAACATGGGAATTGAGAGATGACTTGAATATCGTCTTTTATTTCTGATAATTGATAAATGTGCATCATAAAATGATTAAACGTCTAGTGAGCTTTCCAAGATGTGGTATATACCTTCTTTTTAACTTTGAAATTGACCGTAAACAAGTCAGCAGTTTTGTTGATCTTTAATTAACTGGAATCTGGACAAATTTCTTAATATCTCCGTCAACTTCGGAGGTTAAAAAAATAGTGCACCACATGTTGTAAACCCAGAGGCTTCTAGTTTTAACTGTGATACTACAAAATCACATTTACGAAATAATCCCGCTTGGAACAAAGACGATATAAAGTCGTCATTTAATTCCAATGTTTTTTGGGAAACCCTGTATGTAATTTCAAGTGTAGGGTTTCCAACGAAAGCAAGTTTTCTCGTAAATATAATGTGCTTGCAAATTCCATAGTTTTCAGATTCCGCGAAAACATACAAATTTATCCTTTGACATGCAACTTTTGCTCTGTCTGTATACCCTATCCAAAAAATCCTTTGATTTTTTTCTTCTGAAAAGTGACATTTCAAGGTGGAAAGAACCAAAAAAAAGAGTGCTTGGGCAAAAAAACTAGAGGGGGCGCCTGTTGACAGTGAAGATAATGGTCAAAGAATCAAATTTTACATTTTTTAACATAATTTACCAAGCACCATGAATGCTGACTCCTTCGGTTAAAACGTAGAAAATAGTTTAATCTCAAATTACAATATTTTCTGACAAAAATAACAAATTTATCAATCTTATTATTTGTTGTGAAAGACCTATAGCAGTGTGGTTAACCATTGCTACGATGGCGACTGAAATATTAACTTTCAATCCATAGATCAGACCCATACCCATCGATCCAAGGATTGCAACAATATATCTAAAAGAAAATATCTTATTGAATTAATATTTTGCCACAAACTCTGATTTTTATAAACGTTTATTTTTTGCAACCTAATGTCGTGGACCTTTGACATTTAAAACTATAAATACTGTTAAAAAGAATCTCAGTTTTAAATATCAAAGGTTTACAGCATTACAGTTTGGAATTCAGGTTTATGCAACAATTTTGCGGATCATTTCATTTTCCAAAATGAAATTTTGTTCCAGAAAAATGGAATCCCCAATCAGCTCTTTATGTAAAGAGCTGTCTGTATATTGGCCCAGTGTCCTCCTTAGTTCTCTGGTAGGCATGTTAATTATCTATCTATTAGCTGTCTGTTAACTGTCTGTTAGCTGTCTGTTGTGTAAGTCCCCCAGCCTTGATTTACAAACGAGAGATTAAACTCTACCCCTGTATTCTAGAAGGATTTGGGGTGCATTGTCAAATCTTAAGGTTCTATATTGTGCTTTGAATCTGAGAACAAAGAGAGAAAGGAGTTGGCGAGTGTGAGTATGAGTAACTTCAAATATTATAATGTTTGAAGAACAAATTCAACCCCCCGATGGATTCAAAGGCAAAATCGTAGCCGGCCCAAAGGGTTTATCATTAAAATTAAAATTAATCATAGATTATTTTCAAGGCAAATAAAAATAATTTAAAATATGTGTGCATGTTCGATCTACAATGGTACCCAGATCATCTGTGTCTGGTCAAGAATGGTCGACACATTGTTAATTTTCCCTTGCAGATTTCTTTTTAACTATATGCTCCACTTTTAATGGAGGTTCCCAAAAAATGAAGAAAAAAAAAATTCTACAGTAAACTATTTAGCTGTTTGGTAATATATGTTTCGATGAAATTTCTCAATTAATCAATGTTAAAATAAATTATTTCTTTTTCCTCATTATGTTGAATTTCTCATTATTTAGAAATTTGTTCATATTAATTTATCAAATTAACTTCTTTTTACAATAAGAGTAAATTTTTATTATCTCAACCTTTTCCTAAAAAACTAATCTCGGTATTTATACACCATTAAAAAGTTTTTTTATTCTTCAAATGAATCCTGAAAAATTTCTATACAATTCTGCATTCTCAGTTCAACTACCATACATTGCCGGTCACTCCCTTAATTAGGTAATAAAAATCACACAAATCCTTTTTCCCAAAAATGAACAAAAGATGAGATTTAAAAACAAATTCTTAGTGAAGCAAAAACAAAAAATAACCATCACGTTCCTTAAAGATTTATTAATGAAAAAATAATTTTTTATTTTACCTTACTTTGATCCCTGGCCTCGTTAACGTTTTCTAAAAAATCTTCCATGCTAACACTAGTAATACAATTGAGATCGTTAAACGATCGGTAAATACCGTTAACGAAACATACGTTCCATTTTTAGCTAAAAAACGAACGACTACCCTGATTTTGTTTTCAACAGATCAGATTAACTGTTAACGAAGTGCTTTAAAAAGTCCTGGATCTATATTTACCTCCATTTTATGCAAGTTGTTGGTTGTGCATTTGATTCTTGTTTCTTCTCTGATCCTTTCACTAGGTTTTCCTCCAGACAACTCTCTATAGTTATATTTATTAAAAACATACATTATCATTAAATATAAAAATATTCAAGCAACCCTTGACATGCCAATAGGGCATATGCTTGACTTACAATAGTATCCTTGAATTATTTGACAGTTTATTGAGTAGAAAGATATCTCTGTTTAAACAAATCGGAACCATCTTGAATTAAGTCTAAAACGAGGCCTGTACACTGTGTTCAGAATAACCTCAACGCAGCTGATTTATGTTACTTACTCAACTCAAAGTATGAACTGGTTTACGTTAAAAGCGGTTTTCAAACACATATAGTAATTTTTCATGGATCTGTTTATAAATTTATATATAAATATATTCATCTGTTAATTCACGAGGATAATAATTTTCTATGTGATATTTATATTGTTTAAATTTTAATCTTCGTGCAATAAATATTTGATTTGATTTGATTTGATTTGAAAATCAATGACATATTCTACTCGTAGGAAACTATTATGTAAATTATCAAAATTATCAAAATTAAATGCTTTTAACCTCCTCGGATACAAAACGAACACTGATGCATCTATTCTTGTTTACAAATTCCGCCCAGAGAGAACGAAGAGTATATATACGCGACTGCAATTAATTTTCCTTACATTAGTACCTTGGTTCAATTAATGTGTAATAAATGTTATACCTGTTAGCTCCATGGTTACAGAGAATCAACTCTGCAGTACAGTCGTGTACAGTACAATGGTCGTCAGCAGTACACTAAAAGTCACTACATATACCACGATTTTTCCACGATCTGTTTCAGATCAGAACTAAAATAAAACTGACTGAGTCCTTCTCTCAACATATAACTCTTATACTATCAAATATATAGAGATAGATGGATAGAGGTCACCTTGCCCCAAACCCCCCTTTCTTACGCAATTTATAATTGTAAATTAATTACTGAAATATGAATTATAAATATTGAATAGATCACCAGATGGTACCAGGGGGGGGGGGGGCACATTCTATTCGAGTTCTGATGGTTTATAATGTGTTCAATGTTTACATCTCTGACTTTGTATAAGGAGAAAGAAAGGTACTTTGAGAAAGCCCTTTCCCGGCATCATGATGTAATATCATGTTTTAACATAGCTAGCTTTCTAAACTACTTTTAATCCGAAGAATTATAAATAAATCATGTATCCTAGACCAAAGAATGTCTTTATAAGAACAAGCACGTTATGAGATAAATTTATGAAATGGTAAAAAAGAAAGTTGCTTGATCAAGTAGTATCTTTTATTATATCTCAATTTTCAAGACTCTCTCCCCCGAAAGACTGCTTCTGCACGATTCACAACGGTTAAACTTAAATCATTGAATAGGATATCCTTCTGAGATTATTCTGCACAAATCATAGAGAAGCTGCAATGTAAAATGATCAATTTTAAGATAGAAACACAGGTTAGAGGGACAGAGGTGTCAAAAAGGTAACAAATTGTGATTTGGGGATTTTAAAGAAAATTTCGATGGACTTTCTAAAACCTCGAGTAGTAACAATTAATATCCTTGTAAGTTTTAAGAGGTATAATTTTACAATGCATGGGACCAAAGCTACATTGAATAACGTTGCTTAAAAGGAATAAACGCGAACGCAAAGACGGTAATGTCCGATTAACAACTCTACCCTTAATAGCGTTGTCTGAATAAGTATGAATTAGATATCAAAGTTTTGTTTATTGTACACTAGTTATTTTTAATTGTGGCTTTCTTACAAAAGTGATTTGCGCATTTCTGGCAGGAAAATATATATTGGAATTATCATAATCAAAAAACGTTACACCTAAAAAACATCGATACCGTCCACATTATTTATCAGGTGATTTTTTCAAGGGTACTGTTGTGAATCGGGCATTGTCATCTTTGCATGTTGAGTCTCTTGATGTTATTTTTCCAACTTTTTAAGGCCTGCTCATTATAAAAATTAGATCTCTGATCTAACTACATATATTGGTCCAAGGGAGAACATTGAAATATTAAGGCCTGCTCATTATAAAAATTAGACCTCTGATCTAACTACATATAATGGTCCAAGGGAGAATATTAAAAAAGTTCAAAGTACGTTGGAAAAAATTGTCGGAAATAACTTAACAAATATAAACATGTGACAAATCTTATGACATCCATTTTTTCCAGGGTCTTAAAATAAATAAATGTATGCCCTGTAGCTTGATTAATAAAAAAGTTATTAAGCATTTATGTTTATTTTGAAACACTAACCAGCCGTTTGACTGTCCTCTTCACCCTACTCTATATAAACAAGGAAAAAAATTTGAAAGATATTTGTTGCTTAGATGATGATGAAAAGGTAAAGAAGTTTAAGCATTCCATAATCTAATTCGTTTTTTGGTTATTTAAAAAAATTGCGATAGGGTTAAAGACAATCGCTTTGGTTAAAGATCCATTTTTAATTATTTTATATGATAGATATATATATAGAATAGATACTTAAGATGGTGTCACGCTTCACGCATGAAATTAATTATAAAACTGGATTTTGTAGAAATAAAAAAACTCACGTTCCGTTTTTTCTTCTTCCATCTTGAGAATCGTATTTTTAATATAGAAAAAGTAGGACTGGGCAAAGTTCCGTTAACTAAATAGAGATTTTCGAAAATTAATGAAGGAGTCCATTAACCAATGACAAAAACCGTTAATTTTTAAATCGTAAACGATGTGGATTAACCGTTTTTGAAAATGAAAAAAAAAACTGTTGAAAACGAANCCCCCCACTATTTATATGATGGAACTCTTTTTTTGCAATTTGTTGATTTTTTTTTGAAATTTTGGAGTTTTGGCAAACTGTCAACACCATTACAAACAATTTGAAAAACCGTGTTTTGCGCAATTTCTGAAGGACTTATGCAGTTAATTGCAAACGAACGGTAAACGGCAGAATATCTTCCGCTAACGCCATTATTAAAATTCAGATCATTAAAGGCCTTTAATTGGCCGGTTACGATAAAAAGTCTAGCCACACCATCAAAATTAAAAATGGGCTAACATATGGTGGTTCGTGAGTAAATCAAGATAATGAATACGACTTTAAATTTTAATTTTAATATATATCAAGCTTTTAAACAGAATGGATATACACAAAAACATAGAAACAAAAAGAAGCCTTCAATTTAAAAAAGCTTTTCTTTAATTTCTTGTAAGATTGTAATTTGAAAAAGCTTGTAAACAATTAAAACCGGGATAAAGAATTCGTTTTCATTGAATTGATATAATCGCCTTACGAAAATATCTGGCGGGTACGTAGAGATGGACATCGTTTATTTAAACGAACGAAATTTTTAAGAACGAACTAAACTTTTCATTTAGAAAATAAACAAGCAGTGGACAAACATACGTAATAGAGAAATGAAAAAATATTGTTATTTGAAAGCAAATGAAAATTACTTAAAATTAAGGATTTAATGTTGTTCGAACAAACCTAAAAAAAACTATAATTTTTGTTCTGAACGAACTAATTTCTTAAATGATTTTGAAAAAAACGATAATTTTTTGGCTGAACGAATGATTTTTTTGGAACAAATTTATTAAAAACCGATAGTTTTTACTAAATAAACAATTTGTTAAGACAAATTTTTGAAAATTATATGTTTTACCAAACGAGCCTTTTTACATAACAAACGAAAAAACGAACTAAATGGGTCATTCACTAAAGATGAATAAACGAAAGAGAAAAAAAGTCGCATATGCCCATCTCTACCAGTACATGCTTTGCCTCACTAAGACCGGCACAAGCAAAAAGATTATTAAGTACAATAGATACCAACGTAGAATTTGTACACTCTTAGTACAGCTGTATTCTTACGTCACACGTGTCAATTGTTTTATGTCTCCGACAAAATTATTAATAATAGTGATAATAAAATGCTGATCTTACTGTAAAATAAGTGCAATTTTGTTTTTTTTTTATTTTCTGTTTTTACACTTTTTTATTCAATTTTGGAAAACATGTCAACTAATGGAAGAGAATGTTGCCTTCCTTGTTATTTTTGACACTTGTGATGTCATGTATAATTGGTCCATTTCTCTGTTGCATGGAGGAAGGGGGAGGGGGGGCGGCTTGTTTAAGGAGGGGTATTTAAACCTTTCTAAGAATTGGACATGAACAACTCTTTTACATTATGATTTTTGAACCTCAGAGTAAATGCAAACGAAAAACTCCTAAATATTGAAAAATCGACATCTAGTGTTTTATCTGTTTATGTTATTAATCCAAAAATCATAAGAAAATATTAAAGAAAAGAGAGTAATCAAATGTTTTCCTTGAATCAGAAAATAATAAAGATCAGAACAATGTCGGTTCTCTTAATTGTTTTCTTATTATTTGAAAACAATTTAATTAAATGTTGGGATGATCAACAAATTTATGATAAACCCTGAAAAAGCTCCGAGAAATTTTGTATCGCCTAATTTTAAAGTATTTTCTTTTAAATATACAAACAGCGATCAGTTATTTAATTAATGTTTTGATATTTTCCTTATATTACTAAGGTCTTTTATTGGAATACACTTTTAAAAATATGATTTAGATATATTTTCTTGAAAACTGGAATTAATATCAACCCAAGCTATTATAATAATTTAATAATTTAATACAAATAGTACAGGGATACCCATACACGGACAGCCGTAGTACATTTGAATTTCCGAGCCGGGTCAACCTTTCCGTTCCCAGTTTATACTGTACCTACCTAGCTCTATGAACAGGACTAGGCGGTGCCACAAGGTTGACGCAGTCAGACTTTATGCTTCATATAGGTTGAATTTACTTTTACTTAAGGGGCAAAGGTGCGTGCATAAAGGATGAGACTGGAAAGCCGACCTCAAACTCTCATTCAATAATTATCCCAAATTTCAATTACATCGTATGTTTGATGGAATTATGTTTACCCTATTAATTCGGCCACAGGTTGTTCCAAATAAGCCAGAATAATATAAATTGACTGATAACTTTAAAGTCGTCTTTTAAACAGCAGGAATAGCTTGTTATTATGAGATTTTTGTGTCCTAAAAATATATTGCTAAAACATGTTACCTTTTCTGAATGCCGCAAACTAATGTTAAGGGTCAAAGACGAATTTGAGGTTTAAATCAATTCATATTATTTAGAATATCACTGTTTATAAGATGAAGAAAAATATTTGAATTTCTAAACAATAAAAGGAAATATTTACTTTTCTCATCCTTAAATGAAAACTATAGGATCGCTACGAGATCACGAGGTTGTACAGTGATTTTGCATAAATGTTGTCTCTCCTTCTTTCTTATAACTTGCTCTTAGCGATGGGGCAATGTTAAATTCTTTTTTTTTAAAGCCTCAATGTATCTTTGTATTCTGTCAATTAAAGAGAAAAGCAAATCAATATCAACATCCTAATTGATAATCATTGATTTAGAAAATCAAGAAAGGAGCGAATAAGGGGCGTGTGACTCCACCTACCCCAGGCTTAACATAGACTCTGGCCCTCCAGCCTTTATAGGGTTTAATAATGCATGTCTGATTGATAAAGGCAGAAATGACAATTAATAACCTATGAAAAAAAAACGTGGATACCTGATCTATAATACATGGGTGTCCCACGAAACATGACAGTTGGTGAATAGTTTTAAATGTCTTCTTTCATAAATTGTTACAAAGAGATTTCGCTAACGAAATACACTGCAGAAAATTCTTTAATATCTAATATAATGTATGGAAGAAGACATTCAAAACCATTCGCCAACTGTCATGTTTCGTGAGACACATAAATGTCCTCTTTCTTGAACAAAAACATAATAATTACATCTTATAATTACAATTTAAAATTTATAATTAATAAAAAATAAAATGAATAAAAAAGACAAGATAGATACATAAAGGATATTCTATGAATACAACTAATTTCAATAAAATTAAATAAGTAATAAACATTTCATCTGGTTAAAACAGTTTGTCAAAAATTGTAGAAAATTCTTAAATTTAATTACTGTATCCGAATTTCTTTTTTGAATTTTATTTTTTGCTTAGTACTTTGTTACCCACAGGTATTCATGGGTTCCTATACAAATCAATTAATCGAGCCGTTAGACCAGCTATAGCTGACATATTGATATCGTATACTATGGAGTTCATAGTTTATATTAATTTATTTTTGCCAGCTTTGTGATAATTCCACACTTAGACACAACTATAATCACATTGAGTGCATAGGATAGGGTACGGCGTCCGTAAAAGGTTTGAGTCTTTGCCACAAATTCAAATATTCTAATCCCTTTATCTGCGACTCTTGATGGTGTAAAGCTTTTTGTAATTAAAACTTAGATTATTTGATCTAATAGAAGTAAAGATTTGATATATCCATTAAGTTGTAAAGATATGGGGTACAAAATCAGAATTTGTGTCAAATACTTATTTCCTTTTTGGAAAAGTTATGAAGTTACATACACTTAATTTTCCGCAAATATAAACTTTTTTCAAATTATTAATTAACCCATTGTCCCTGAACAGACCTCTTTAGTGTTTTGACACATTTTTGACACTAACAAGTATACACCTTGAACTGTTTTTTACATATAAGGAAAAGTAATGTAAACATTTTTTGGTAAAAATGTTTACACTTTTAGTTATTAAAGCTACATAGCAGATGTCAGAATTATAACATTTTTAAAAAATCCTTGAAACATGAATGTTAAAACATATTTCACATCTCAATATTTGTCCAAAGCAAAACAAAAAAATATTTTTTTATGTTTCGGATCTTTTCTTTACATTTTTTCAAACCTCCTACAGTGATAACCAGAAAACTCTGGAATAGGAAGTCGACTTTTAACCTCAAGTTATGACATCAAATGCACTTAAGAATTCCTATAATGTCGTCTTCCTATTCCATAGTTTTCTGGTTATCACTGTAGCACTCAAGCAATCGAAGATAGCGGTCTTATTTTCTTCTATCAGCTTGCCTAGAAAAATTGGGATATTAACATGCATTGCAGGCTATTCATAGATTCAGACCCCCAGCCAACCCTATTCCTGCTGGGGGGGTCAATTTGACCCTGTAGTTTTTTTTACATAACTCAAAAAGTATTGGGTCGAGCTCCATGTATTTTCTTATAAATAAAAAATCACAAAGTTTTTCTGTTGAATTTTTGATGAGCTTTAGTCGCATGGGAAAGAGGGGGGGGAGATTCAGGGTGTCCCAATTGACGTGGGAATTATTCAGGGAGTAAGGAATAGAAGGGAGATATAATAAAAGTTACAAATAAAGTAAAATATTTCACAGAGGGCGCAACGCTCAGTCACGCCCTTTAAAGACACAACAGTCCGCCTCTGACTTATCCTAGAAGTTCCCTTACATATTGTCATAAAAAAGTCAATCACTTTAGATTTTTTGGCCTCAAACCTAAATATAACTGGCTGAAAGTTAAGTTTGTATTTATGATACTATAGTTAAATAATATCCCCAATGTATTACGTTTCGTTTTTACACTAATTGCTAAATTTCTAATTTTTCTAGGATTGAATTAGTACAGAATAATATTTCTAGGATGGAGTTAATACAGAATAATATTTCTAGGATGGAGTTAGTACAGAATAATATTTCTATAAGATGGAGTTAGTAAAAAATAATATTTCTATTATCGAGTTAATACATAATAATATTTCTAGGATGGAGTTAGTACAGAATAATATTTCTAACATGAAGTTAGTACAGAATAATATTTCTTATAGGATAGAGTTAGTGCAGAATAACATTTCTAGGATGGAGTTAATAAAGAATAATATTTTTAAGATGAAGTTAGTACAGAACAATATTTCTTTAGGATGGAGATAGTACAGAACAATATTTCCAGGATGGAGTTAGTACAGAATAATATTTCTATAGTATGGAGTTAATACAGAATAATATGTTTAGGATGGAGTTAGTACAGAATAATATTTCTATTGGATGGAGTTAATACAGAATAATATTTTTAGGATGGAGTTAGTACAGAATGAATGGCAATCTGGAGTGTGTGGATGTTGTGGAGACATTAAAATATGTTTCAAGGTATGCAGCTCCCAGGTTTCGCTACGGAACCACTCAGGAATGGAATTGGTCAGGGGGTTCCCTTAGAGTTTTTGTATCAACCCATGCTGACACAGTCGGCGCTAAGGATGTGAGCGGTCAATTTGTATTTGTGTGACCATCCCCCATAATAGAGTTTACAATTTCATATATACAGATATAAAGTATTTAGGCTAATTTTGACAGATTTTGATTTCAAAATCAAAATGTGACTGAACAATTGTCGATACAGATAGGATAGTTGTTTCTCGTAAATTAGATTGAATGCATATTTCTCTATGATTGCACGTAAAACTAAAATCTTCTGTTTCCGATTAAAACTCCGCTAATTTAAAAGCTAGGAAAACAATTAATGTTTGAATTTTTTATATTTAAATGTAGACAGTGTCCGAATTTAATGAATTTGAGCCGCGCCTTAAATCCCCCAAAAACAGGTTTTCTTGAAACATTGAATACAATTTTAAGTGAAACCCACTATATTTGAGCCGCAGCTTAAATTTAAGCCGCTCAAATTCTTTAAATTCGGCCTCAGATAAATTTTCTTACTCTCAGACGTAAAATTAAAACCAGAGGAGCTACGAGCTACATTGTCACAAAGTCGTACTATGGCCCTAACCTTCTCCTTCTGTCTAATTTACAGCGTTTCGTTGAATTGTTAGTTTTACGTGGGGTAAAATTTCATGTCAAGTCCCCATCTAATATATAGATTAACATGCCGATTAAAGAACATTATTAAACGATCAGGACTAGAAATAAAATATTCACATTCTGATTAAGCCGAAGGTTAAACAACTTTCCTTATTTCGTATACAAAGCAATGTTTAATCTATATATAAATTTAGCTTGTCTGGGTGTCTGTTTGTTTGTATGCAATAAACGTCAAAACGGCTGAACCGATCGGGCCCAAATTTTGCATGGGACCTCACGTGCAGACCCCAGGGAAGGTTTATGGCCAATCAGACTTTGAATATGTGATCTTAAAATATTTCATCTTAAATTATTTTATTTTGTAAAATTTTGAAAATGCGCAAAAAATACTATGAAATTCGCAAAATTAACAAAAAAAAATGACACTGTATAAAGAGAGAAGATGCTCACAGATGAAGCCACAATTAAAAGTTGAAAAAAAGATGGGCGCAAAGCGCACTAAAAGCTTAGTATAATAAACATAACCATAACTATTAAAAATATTATTTATCAGCTCCATATGAATTGAAAGTGTTCAAAAGTATGTAATATTGCCGGTATGACTTAGATCTACCAATCCTTATAGCTCATGCAACCTTTTTTTTTAACTTTAAATTCTGTTAAATTAAATGTTTTATGCTGGATATATCAAAGGTTTTTACCATCATGTTGCAAAAATATAGGGAGTATGAGGATGATAAAATTTGCGACAATAATGCATTTCATTTGTCAAAATATATTTGTTTAGGGATTCTGTTGTAACGGACTTATGTGGATGACATGTGAAAATGCAGAAAAGGTATATTTAATAATTAATTAAACAAAATAATAAAATAACTAAATTAGGCAAGCTTATTTTTAAATCTAAAAGCTAAAACAATCCTGAGGCCGAATTTAAGAATTTAAGTCGCGGCTTAAATCCGTCAAAACCCGGTTTAAATTGAGCGCCGGCTTAAATCTTTAAACATTTGATACAATTTTAAGTGAAACCAACCATAATTAAACCACGGCTCAAATTCTTTAAATTCGGCCTCTGGTTTTTTTTTGTTTATTTTAGGATTACACTTAGTCAGCTTTATATCCTTACTTATTATTCTCATGTTTTGGCCCATACATTCTGTATTTCTATTGAACGTTTTAAATATTAATTAAAATTTTAAATTAACTTTTTGGTTGTAGGTTGGGTGAGGCTTGTCATAAAGACTAACGAAACGGTCTCTAAATTACTAAATTATTCATCTTTTATTGAAAATCTGCCAAAAATCGTCCAGAGACCTTTTATTCTTAGATATTTGAAATACTATAGTCCAACAATAAGTTATTTTACAGCAAATACTAATCTCTACAATTAATGGTTGTGTTGTGTTTTTAAAAAACACTTCGCACTTTTTCCTTTGATATATATGTTTGTTTTTCTTGAAACTGTTTATTTGCTATTTCTCTGCGAACGTTACTTGCGCATTGCTTGTTTATAAGAAGTAATGAAGAAATTATCAGAAATAAACATTTTTCGAGTCAACAAATATATGGTATATTTTCCAGATTTTTGATCAGATTAAGGTTTGAATGGGGTAAGCTTAGTCCCTTTAAACTACTATATAGGCTGGTCACGATGAGCTGACCTGGGCCTTGTTGTCCTGTCTTATACCCTCCTTAGCTTCTCCTCTTATTAGAACAGCAACTAGAGAGATGTATGGAATTGAAGGATCTGTTGTGAGTATTTAAAGAATAATTAAACAGCCTCTGCAAATGATTGACACCCATTCGTTTTTTTGCAAAGTGGGTTTGAAAAAATAAGGAGAGTGAAATCATAGCATTTTTGTCTTATAGTAAGGTTGCTTATTCTCGATGTCGATGGAAGATTCGTCAACTAATAAATGGACAGAGATCAAATAATAATTTTAGGTCTCTGACTGGATATTTGGGTGTTTTTGCACAAACTGTGTAAATACGCAGATGGCCATGGAACATAAAGCTAGGAACGCGTAATGTCATAGCTCTGGAGTAAGTAATAAGACGTTTTCTAAATGAATGAAAAAAAAACATTTTCACTTTTTCAATCTCCAATATTCATTTTCAAAGCAATAGCAACCCAAAATTGAACCTACTGTGACGTCCTTTTGATTAACCCCTATAAAAAAACTTCAAACAAAATGTAGAAAGTTAAACTTTACATTTTATGCTTTAAAATCTTTATCTTCGAATAATGCTACATAACGTATACTTATATTTAATTCATGATAATATTATGAAATGTTGTTATTTTTAATATCTTAAAATTTTTATAAATTTACCAAACCATAACTTATGTTCGTGAAAAAAAAACAATGTAATCAAACCTTTATGTTTATTTTAGGCTGCTTGCATTTGATCCATGATTATTGATCAGTGATCATGAAACTCTGAACCATCCATATCAGCAGCATTTAGTCTATTTTAATATTATAATCAATATTTAGCTTTGTATGGTCTATCTTAATATTATAATCAATATTTAGCTTTGTAAAGTCTATTTTAATTATTATAATCAAATATTTAGCTTTGTAGAGTCTATTTTAATTATTAAAATTAAGTATTTTTAAGCTTAAGCATTGCAAACTAGACAAATGTATGTGACGTCACTGCTACGACTTTGTAACCTCGTAGCCACTCTAGTTCGAATTTTACGCACAAGTGTAAGAAAAGAAAATGTATTTAGTTTGATGCAAGAAACTCAAAACATTCTTGTTCTTCTAAATACCTCTTGATATAGTTAATAATTAAAAGGTTCAAAGTAAAATTTAAAGCATACTTTTAAAAGAGCACACTTTATATGGACAAACCCCAAAATATTCAAATCTTTATGCTCTTTAATAATTCAAGCAAATGTGTTTGCTCTAAAATTTATTAGCGTTAGTCGAAATTATTGTATTAACAATAAAATCAGAAGTTCTCTTTTATAAGTGTTAAGTAAAAAAGTACATATTTGATTTTAATTTTAATCTGAATCGTAAATTTCAAATAAGTGAAGACGATAATCATTAACAACCACATTTCAAACTTTAATCTTTTCTCTTTAATATTTAATCTTTAATATTTAATCTTTATTCTTTAATCTTTAATCTTTAATCTTTAATTTCTAATATTTAATTTCTAATCTTTAATCTTTAATCTTTAATCTTTAATCTTTAATCTTTAATCTTAAATCTTTAATCTTTAATTTTTAATCTTGAATCATAAATCTCTAATCTTTAATCTTTAATCTTTAATCCTTCATAATTAACAACCACATTTCCAACTTAATCTTTTCTCTTTAATATTTAATCTTTAATCTTTAATTTTCAATCTTTAATCTTTAATCTTTAATCTTGCATCTTTAATCTTTAATCTTTAATCTTTAATCTGTAATCTTTAATCTTTAGTCTTTTATCTTTCATTTTTAATCTTTAATCTTTAATCTGTAATCTTTAATCTTTTATCTTTCAGTGTAATCTTTAATCTTTAATCTTTAATCTTTAATTTTAATTTTTAATCTTTAAATTTTGATCTTTAAACTTTAATCTTTAATCCAAAATTTTTGGATTAAAATTATGACTTATTTTATGTATAATAATATAATAAGATAAAGAAAATAAAAGATTTAACATTTCGATCAGAATTTATTTTTAAAGTATTCATTTTTTCCGTGTAGAGAGACTGTAGATATGATTTAAAGTGTCGATCCACGGAAGACCCTTTTACATTTGTGTAAGATCAAGAACTCAAAAGCTCGACGTTTTTTTACTTTGAAAATAGATTATTTTCAATTGTAAGAATCAAACACGCTTCAAGGTGGAAAAAAAATATTCTCTACATTATTGATGTGATAAAGGGTTAAAGGGAACTGATGTGAATCAGACATCTTATTCGAGGGACACCTGAAATTACGTCTTTAGTTCTTTACGGGAGAAAAAAAAGAAATCAAGAAAATAGCATTTAATGTGAATTGCCGGAAAGTTTGCAGCGTTTTTTCACGTTTAATCAGAAATACTAAAAAATCTAGTTCTGTTAATCAAAATAATGTAAATTTGCGTTCAAGACTAAGTTAAACTCCATGTAAAGCGTTTAATGTATAATTATCACCATTTCAATGATTTTTTAAGAAGTCTTATTAATTATAATAAAATTTTGTTACAATTATTTTCTCAAATTTTCTAAAATTTGCAAATTTTTGCTAAAAAGTAGAGACTGCAATTGCATACAAATTAATTTTATGATTCTTTCGGATTATGATTAGAAAAAAGAAATTCGTAAAATTCTAGATTTCTTTCCCTCCTTTAATTAATCATTTAAAACAGCCCTACTTCTCATGCTTTGTATTCATAGTTACAAATAAACATTATGAAAATGTAATGTTAATCATATTTTTATAAATTAGAACACAAACTTTGAATCAAGAGAAAAGTAGACTATAGTATTTTTATAAGTTTTGTGATTTAATTATTTGATAAACGACAATATATTCCACATTATTGATCAGATAATTTATGTTCAAGTGCATCGTAATCTTTGCAAGGAGGGTCACTTGAAATTACGTTTACAGTCCCTTTAATATCACCAAAAATAAAGGGTTTAAAAGCTTATGAGACAGTTGTTGAAATTTGGTTTACAAGGTTCAGGTGTGTATCGTCTGTAGGGTTAATATCTTTAAAATATGAAAACTTAAACTCGTAAGGAATAAAATAAAAAGCACTTGAGAGACCACGGTATGGAATTTATACTGACTTTTTCATTACGATTATATTAACTCTACCAAATAACAACTTTACCAAAAAGAAACTTTACCAAATAACAACTTTATCAAATAGAAACTTTACCAAAGAGAAACTTTACCAACTAACAACTTTACCTAAGAGAAACTTTACCAAATAACAACTTTACCAAAAAGAAACTTTACCAAATAAGAACTTTATCAAATAGAAACTTTACCAAAGAGAAACTTTACCAACTAACAACTTTACCAAATAGAAACATTACCAAAGAGAAACTTTACCAAATAACAACTTTACCTACTAACAACTTTACCAAATAGAAACTTTACCAAATAAGAACTTTACCAAATAACAACTTTATCAAATAAAAGCTTTACCAAATAACATCTGTACCAAATAGAAACTGTAACTAATAAAAACTGTACCTAATAAAAACTTTACCAAATAAAAACTTTACCAACTAACAACTTTACCAAACAGAAACTTTACCAAATAACAACTTTCCAAATAGAAACTTTACCTAATGAAAACTGTATTAAATAAAAACTTTACAAAATAATAGCTTTATCAAAAAACAAATCTACAAAATAACATTTTTTCCAAATAAAAACTTTACCAAAGAACAACTTTACCAGAAATAGTTTTACCAAATAACAACTTTACAAAATAAAAGCTTTACCACATAACAACTTTACAAAATAAAAGCTTTACCAAATAACACCTTTACAACATAATAATTCTTAAAATGTATATACTTAGCAAAGTAATTTTGGTATCTGCATTAAATTGAGTATTTTGATGGTTTACTCAATGATAAAGCACAGTAGTAAGCGATTTTTTACCTACAAGGAATCCTGAAATAGGGTTTCCATTCGCAAAACTTTTGCGCAATTTTTGCGGAACGAAACGCAAAATTTTTCTTTCTTTGCGCATCAGTTTTGCGCGAAAAAACAACAATTTGCGCAATCATTCGCAAAAGTCATTTCGCGCAAAATTGCCCTTTTCCGCTTTTGCGAAACTCAAGTTTTGCGCAATTTCGCAACNGCAGACAATACATATTATTAAATAGGCGCAGACAATACATATTATTAAATAGGCGCAGACAATACATATTATTAAATAGGCGCAGACAATACATATTATTAAATAGGCGCAGACAATACATATTATTAAATAGGCGCAGACAATACATATTATTAAATAGGCGCAGACAATACATATTATTAAATAGGCGCAGACAATACATATTATTAAATAGGCGCAGACAATACATATTATTAAATAGGCGCAGACAATACATATTATTAAATAGGCGCAGACAATACATATTATTAAATAGGCGCAGACAATACATATTATTAAATAGGCGCAGACAATACATATTATTAAATAGGCGCAGACAATACATATTATTAAATAGGCGCAGACAAGACATATTATTAAATAGGCGCAGACAATACATACTATTAAATAGGCGCAGACAATACATATTATTAAAACTGCATTTGGAAAGAAATATTCGAAATTGTGAGCATATAGGATCGCTCGAATAAACCCTTACATTTGTTTCATGTCCCAACAAAAAGTTTTTAAATGCAAAGACGACAACTTATAAAACTTTAAACCAAGTAATATGAAACCATTTTGTATGTCTATAAATGATATGCAATGTCGTAGACAATTTATCAGTTAATTTATACAACAAGGTTAAAGGGAGAGACCGACAACGTAGCATTTATGATTCGAGAATGGAACAAATATATGCTTTTACTTAGAAATTATACTTCGTAAAACTCTCATTGTTATTAAATGTACCCTTAAACTACTTTGTCTTCATTATACTGCACTATTGGTTCAAATATTTACTTATCCGGTCTCTACCATTAATACCTTAAAATCACTCTTTGAAAATAGGTGATTAATTTCAATTTAAATGAAAGAATTTTCAATGACCTTAACAAAGTTTTCAATACACAAAGATCCAGACAGCTACAAGAACTTGGTTTTATTTTCAAGACTGGATTGTCTTTGAAATGTCGCGACGCCTTTGCCTTTGTATTTACCTCCATAACTCAGTTTTACTTTTGTGTAGCCCTAGTCATGTACTTTCTAGAAGTGCAAAGGTCTTGTTTTTGAGAAGTAATTGGCAAACTTTTCATCAATGTTAGTGTGAGAGCTTGCAAAGTTTTTGCCACAAATTCTGATTTTCTAATTTCAATATCGTTGCAACCCGATGTCGTAGACCTTTAATATTTCAAACCATGAATGCTATCAGATCAAATAATGTAAGTTTGAAATATCAAAAGTTTACATCATAAGGTTGCAAAGATGTAGGTTTTACAAAAACTGAATTTGTGGCAAAGACTCAATTCCTTTGGATCCCTGTGGTTAGTGTACTGCGGTCGGAAAGAATCGTGTTTTATTATTATTATTTTGTTATTATGTCTGGTTTCCTTTAGAAGAGTTTATAGAAAATATAGAAGTTAATTCAAAATATGCATTATTTTTTCAGTCTGAAATTAGAGGCTAAAGATGTCTGAACTAGTGCACAATGAATGGCAACATAGCATTCTTGGATGCTTCAGTGATATGGGAATATGTTTCAGGGTAAATATTTCAAAATATCTTTTATTTAAAGGGACAATAGGGGTTATCTTATCATTATTAATTGGAACTGGCATGTCCGATCCTCAACTTTACTTTAAAAGTTTAACCTTTAATTTTAGCAACAATGAGAAAGATATTCTCTTTTTTCGTTTTGAAAAAGTGCAAACTTCTAATAATTTCCCTTGTTTTTTTGTGCTGCATAATTCCGTAAAACCCATTGACATAGAATTGCAATTATAAACCATTAATTTTAAAATAAAAGAGGGATGACTTCATTTTTTTAAATGATGCTTTGATTAAAAACAATCTTAAGAATGACAGAAACACCTTTATGTTATAAAATTGATTAATTTAATATTACTCTGAATATTGCAGCAAACAAAGCCTATCTCTTCAAACAAGCTGCAATGGCATTTATTTTGTAACCTAAAAAAGATTAAACGTAGAACATCTCTTGATTGAAAAATGATTTATAAAAACATATTTATTAAATTCTAGAAAATTTGATTTTAATAATATTTTTTGAATATGTGAAATTTTTGTACAAAGAAGATAATTATTCAAACATACGTCAGCATTTATAATGAAAATGGTGATTAAGTATTAAATATTCAAACGTGGGTCAGACGTATTAACTTGTAAACAACAACGCCACGACAAGTTGTTCTACATTCATAAATAATTTAAATGTACGTCAGAGTTTTGTATAATTAGACCTGAAAACTCAATTTTTATACGAACCGGATTTACTGGTTTGATATGCTACTCTATATGTTGAATTTAAACAACTTCTAGGAAACAAATTAAAGATTAAATTAATCTTGGAGAAATAAAAAGTTGTGATCAAACATTGATCTCGATATCCACAATTCTAAAGTGTTCAGCTAAAATGTCTGTATTTTTATATGAGATTCTAAAAATGAAACCTTTTTAAATTGAAACAAATTAGGATTTATTCCGCGAAAAACAGAAATTGCTCATATTAATATGAATTCTCATTGGTCAACCAAAGATTTTTTTAGGGTTCTAAGCTAGGAACTTTGGAATGGGATACCCTTAATCCCTATCGCTTAATATACATATCCAGTTTGGACATTTTTAATTTGATGCTTAATCCGCTCTAATTGAATATACTTACCAGATTCTGACCAATGACCAAGTTCATTAAACGGCGCGTAAAATTAAACTTTCCCGGCTTCTGATTAGCTATTAAGGATTCTCTTTTGCAACTTTATTGGTGGAATTTTATACAATTTTCATGATAAAAACAAAAGCTTAAAATAAACTTGAGATAAATAAAAAGAAAAGACCAAGAATTGATCTGAATATCCACATTTCTAAATTGTTCCGCTCTGGCGGTCAAATCTCTCATTCATGTATTCATTGGTTGGGCATAAAAATCCAACATAATTTTAATTTATTAACTACACAATTATACGGATCAGTAAAAACTTCTAACTGGATTAACAAAATAAAAGTTGCAAAAAAGAAAGAGAAAAATTCCAAAGTTTTCATTTCAATGACATTTGATCTGACGTATCATTAAAACCATTTCTTATGATATTCCAATAAAAAAGGCATTTTTCTTCAGGCTTGTATATTATTCGGATTTTAATTATATATTCATTATTATAGAGCTTTGACCTTGTTAATCATACTTCGGTAGACATAAAAATTAAAGTAAAGAAGAAAACATTGTTAAGCAAACTCTCACAAAATTAAAAATGTACGTGTTTGAAAATTCAAACAAAGACTGCAAAGTGATCTAAAGGTTGCAAGCTTACAAGCTAATATAAATAATAATTTTGCCAATGCTGGAAACAAGTTCTTTAGAGTTCTATTTTGTATATGTTTAGGGCTACATTAAATTTAACCCTATTCCTTTTGTTTTTAACACAAAAGTAACGTTTGACACACTTTCAGTTTTCCAATTTTGATAATTTCTAGCTTTATGGAAAGCCTATCACATAGGAAACGGATTGCACATGTTTTGCACAGAAATTTTTGAAAATTATTAGCATACAACGGGTCAAAAAAAATTTGCACATTTTTAGTTTTTCTTAAATTACATGGTCAAGGGTTTTTATAAAAATGAGTATCTTATTAATTTTGGAGATTTTTATTCGCAAACATTTTAATATATTATTGGAATTTGAAAAAAAAACTTATTTTTTTGCAGATTCTAAAAGTAGAGCATAAGATCTTTCCAATGATGTATCATTTGTCATATTTAGAAATCAAACTTTGGATCTAGAGGGGGGAGGGGGGCAAATTGAACTAACCCCCCCCCCCAGCGTATCCTGATTAAGTAAGTTAGCGAGGTAAAACCATGACGTTGCGACACTTGAAAGTCAACACAGTCTATTCTATGTTCGGTTTACTTGTCGTATAGCGTGTGTTTTAATATTTGATTAAATATATATACATAAAAATATGAGCTGTATATATTTATATTTTATATTGTTCTATTGTCAAAGCAAAAGGAATATACATATTGTATTGTTTTGTGGGTTCGTATTAACGACGGGGTTTTACGTTACCGCTTGAACTTAACCAGGGTTTCCACAAAACAATAGATTTTTTTTGTGTTCAAGCACGAAATGATTTTTTGCACTAAATTGCGTATCATTTGCGTATCATATTAAAAGACAGTTGTGCACAAAATTTCTCATTATTATGAAAATAATAGTTTTTATCAAGATATTGCGATGAATACGAAATTTTAGTTGTTTTTTGTACAAAACTGAAATTGTTTTTTGAAATAACAAATTACAAAGTAAAAAAACTCTTTAGAATTTGCGCGCAATAGCTTTTTGCAACCATGCGGAATTGTTTGATATTTCGCTAAACGTAGGAAAACCTTTCAGCATAATTAAGAATGCAAATACTCCACATTGGTATTTTTTGTAGGGTTTAACTTGGGTTTACCATGAGGACTGGATAATTAAACCTTTAGGAAGTCAATTCTAGTGCCGGTTTGGATCATGCAACGATCGGTTTATATGCATATAAGTTTATAATAATTAAAAAAACAGACTTGGAAACGTGTAAACAGGAATATGTAGTTTAAATTCAATTACTTCTCTTTTGTCGTCAAAACACCACATCTTTGATTTCAGTTTATCTAAGCGGACTAGTTATCTGGTTTTCTGCTTCTTTTTTAATCATTGTATGTGTTCTGACTTAACCATATCCCTTGCTGCAGCTGGGTACTTGAAAACTAGGATACGCTGAAGAGGGCCCTCTAAATATTATATTTGATGTCCAAATATGACAAATGATACATCATTGGAAAGCTATTATGTTCTACTTTTAGAATCTGCAAAAAAATTGCAAGCTTACAAAAGTTTTTTTTTTTGCCAAATCTAGTGATATATAGTAAAATGTGTGCAAAAAATGTACAAAAAACTATTAAATATACATTTTTTAAAAGCCCTTGACCATGCAATTTCAAATATACAAAAATGTTTACAAGATTTTTTATAACCTAGTGTTTGATCAAGAAAAACTAAAGATGTGCAAATTTCTTTTGATGGGTTGTATTGTATGCAAATAATTTGCATACATGTCTTTGCAAAACTTGTGCAATCCAATTTCTTGTATCATTGGCTTTCCAAAAAGCTTTAAATTACCAAAATCTAACAACTGAAAGTGGGTTTATGCAAAGATTTAGTTTCTTACAGGAAAAAGTAGTCATTCAGGCAGTGTGCCTGGGGACTCAGAAGGGCTATATATGTATTGTGGAAAAGTCAGAAAATTGCTACAGACCAATACCTTTTGAGCTATGAATAAATAGAACTTAAGGGAGGGGTTCAAATTGACAACCCCCCAGCAGGAATAGGGCTAAAAGAGCTCCCCACGAATCTGATATGTGTTTATGTTTCAGAACATTATACCCAATATTTTTGCTTTAGTTTTTACATTTTCTTTGACAGAAGATATTTACCTACTTTTATTAAATGATTATTAAAACGATTTTACTAATTGTTATGAAATAAGTTTGTTAAAGATAAATTTTCCATTAAGTAATAAAGGCAAGCTTAAGAAACATTACATTTTGACGAAACAGAATGAGGATTTCTTGCGATGCGTTATGAACATAAAAATAAAATGACTGTTTAAAAATTAACATTAAAATGATACCCATCAGCTGCCCTTGCTGGTTCAACTTCAAACTTTACTCGTTTCAATCTCAGAAAATGATACAATATTAAAGAATATGATAAATGTCGTCTTTATTTGCTCAGGGTTGCTGTTGCTGTATGCCCCTCTGCATGATGTGCGAGAATGCAGAAAAGGTACAATAATAATTATATGATACAGATAATACAAATATTATAATGATACTAGAATAATAATATCATAGTGATACTAGACTATAATAATGATAATAATAATATAATAACAATCATAATAATATTATAACAACAATAGCAAAATAATAATAATTTAAAGCAAAACATATTTCAAAATTCCTCAAGGTCCTAAAAATCTCAAAATCTAACCATGAAACATTCAACATTTGTGTCCTTTCAAAACTACCAGAGATATGCAAGATTTTTTTTAAAGATTTTAATTCATTTCATAAAATTATGAAATTGTCCAATTCTAAACAAAATTCGTCTATCTCTTATTTTATAATCCTTCATATTTTTGAAACCTGGTGGCAAGTCTTTATCAAATATCAAAGGTTTCCACCCTGTGGTTGCAAACTTATGGGTTAACAAATTTTTTCATGGTCCGTGAGTATTCAGAACAAAATATAAGTAAATAATTTTAACTTTCAATACATTAACTGCATACTAAGTGTATATATATGTTAATCCATATGGTTAAATTATTGCATTGTATAAACCAGAAAAAAAATATGCATTTTTTAATACAATGCTTTAAAAATATAAATGTAATTGAGACGTTGTTTTATAAGTTATAAATGATACTTAGAGTGTCCAAAAATTTGATTCTCGATGTTTTTACTATTCTAACAGTTATGCAAAGATGGCAAGAGGCCGAATTTAAAGAAATATGGTTAGTTCCGCTCAAAATTATATTTTACTTTCAAGAATAAAGCACTCAATTCGAAGCGGTTTTTGGAGAATTTGAGACGCGGCTCAAATTCATTAAATTTGGACGAAGGTCTAAGTTATTACAAGTATGAATTAGATAAAATTGTTTGTAAAATCTAAAAGACTTATTATTTTCAGTTAAAGGTTTTCTAAATAAGTTACATGCGCTTTTCTACTGCAGGAAAACATAGAGGAGTTTAAAGAAATCAACATGTTTTAACTTTTAAAAACGAAAATATCTTTCACATTATTGATAAGATAAACGTTGCAAGGATACTCTTAAAATCGGGCTAGCCATCTTTACATAGAGATATGGACCACTTGAAAAAACGCTTGATCAGTACCTAAAAAGAGCTATCTGTGAATCAGGAAAAATTGTAATTTTAAGACCCCGAATTACCCTTTGAAAATAAAGTTAAGGATCTATAGAAAACCTTTTATGAAATTATTTTTAAAGATAATACCTCAAGATTTTGGGACTCCCTGATCTGGTATAAAAACCTGGCTTTGGGACTCTCTGATCTGGTATAAAAACCTGGTTTTGGGACCCCCTGATCTGGTTTAAAACCAGGTTTTGGAATTTCCAGATCTGGTTTAAAAAACTGGCTTGGGAAACCCTGATCTGGTATAAAAACCTGCTTTTGGTACATCCTGATCTGGTATAAAAACATGTTTTGGGACACCCTGATCAGGTACAAAAACATGGTTTTGGGACTCCCTGATCTGGTATTAAAACCTGGTTTTGGGACTCCCTGATCTGGAATAAAAACCTGGTTTTGGGACCCCTGATCTAGGATAAAAATCTGGTTTTGGTACATCCAGATATTGTATAAAAACCTGGTTTTGGGACCCCCTGATCTGGTATAAAAACCTGGTTTCGGGACACCCTGACCTGGTAAAAAAACCTGGTTTTAGGACACCCTGATCTAGAATAAAAACATGGTTTTGGGACCCCCTGATCTGGTATAAAAACCTGGTTATGGGACCCCCGATCTGGTATAAAAACCTGGTTTTGGTACATACTGATCTAGTATAAAAACCTGGTTTTGGGACACCCCGATCTGGAATAAAAACCTGGTTTTGGGACCCCCTGATCTGGTATAAAAACCTGGTTTTGATACATTCTGATCTAGTATAAAAATATGGTTTTGGTACATCCTAATCTGGTATAAAAACCTGGTTTTGGGACACCCTGATCTGGAATAAAAACCTGGTTTTGAGACATACTGATCTGGTATAAAAACCTGGTTTGGGACACCCAGATCTGGTTTAAAACCTGGTTTTGAGACATACTGATCTGGTATTAAAAACATGGTTTTGGGACACCCTGATCTGGTATAAAAACATGGTTTTGGTACATCCTGATCTGGTTTAAAAACCTGGTTTGGGACACCCAGATCTGGTTTAAAACCTGGTTTTGGTACATCCTGATCTGGTTAAACACTTGGTTTTGTGACCCCCTGATCTGGTTTAAAAACCTGGTTTTGGTACCCCTGATCTTGTATAAAAACCTGGTTTTGGTACATCCTGATCTGGTATAAAAACCTGGTTTTGGTACATCCTGGTCTGATATAAAAACCTGGTTTTGGGACACCCTGATCTAGTATAAAAACATGGTTTTGGGACCCCCTGATCTGGTATAAAAACCTGGTTTTGGGACCCCCTGATCTGGTATAAAAACATGGTTTTGGTACATCCTGATCTGGTATGAAAACCTGGTTTTAGTACACCCTGATCTGGTGTAAAAATCTGGTTTTGTTACACCCTGATCTGGTATAAAAACCTGGTTTTGGTACATCCTGATCTGGTATAAAAACATGGTTTTGTGACCCCCTGATCTGGTATAAAAACCTTTATTTTACCAAATATCAGATAACGAAGAATTGAGTACACAAAGACATGCAAAGATTATACATGAAAGTAATAAAGCTATTTACAATTATTGAGTTTTATATATTTATATTTATAACTTTAAGTATTCCATGTTTGAGTGTTTGCTTGTGTGTAGGCACGATTATAACTCACACACCTCTTGACATATTTACTTTCAATTTGAAATATAGGGAACTCGAAACAATTAATGCAAAGTTCTGTTGTTCAACAATTCTAGATTGAATTGGTTGACGTTTACAAGAAAAAATTAGATTTCCACAAAGCTTTGTCTAAAAAATAAACTTACTCTTTCATAGTCAAACACTTAACAAAGAAGTTTTTAACCCAGCTAAACACGTATTGCATTATATATGCTTGACTATGTATTATATATTAACTAAACTTTTTATGTTGACGGGGAACAATTGGTTAATGTGGACCCTGCTAGTTCTATGTACATATATTAACTAAACTATATATGTAGACGGAGAGCAGTGGATTAATGTGGACCCTGCTAGTTCTATGTATAAATATTAACTAAACTGTATATGTAGACTGGGAACAGTGGATTAATGTGGGCCCTGCTAGTTCTATGTATATATTAACTAAACTATATATGTAGACTGGGAACAGTGGATTAATGTGGACCCTGCTAGTTCTATTATATATTGACTAAACTATATATATAGACTGGGAACAGTGGATAAATGTGGACCTTGCTAGTTCTATGTATATATTAACTAAACTATATATGTAGACTGGGAACAGTGGATTAATGTGGACCCTGCTAGTTCTATGTATATATTAACTAAACTATATATGTAAACTGGGAACAGTGGATTAATGTGGACCCTGTTAGTTCTATGTATATATTAACTAAACTATATATGTACTATGTAGACGGAGAACAGTGGATTAATGTGTTACCCTGCTAGTTCTATATATATTAACTAAACTATATATGTAGACTGGGAATAGTGGATTAATGTGGACCCTGCTAGTTCTATGTATATATTAACTAAACTATATATGTTAAATGGAACAGTGGATTAATATGGACCCTGTTAGTTCTATGTATATATAACTAAACTATATATGTAGACGGGAAACAGTGGATTAATGTGGACCCTGCTAGTTCTATGTATATATTAACTAAACTATATATATATGTAGACTGGTAACAGTGGATTAATGTGGACTCTGCTAGTTCTATATATATTAACTAAACTATATATATGTAGACTGGAAACATTTTTTTAATGTGAACCGTGCTAGTTCTATGTATATATTAACTAAACCATATAAGTAGACGGGGAACAGTGGATTAATGTGGACCCTACTAGTTCTATGTATATATATTAACTAAACTATATATATGTAGACTGGGAACAGTGGATTAATGTGGACCCTGCTAGTTCTATTATATATTAACTAAACTATATATGTAGACTGGGAACGGTGGATTAATGTGGACTCTGCTAGTTCTATGCAAATAGATTGTTAAGTACAATAGATGGCAACGTAGAATTTGTACACTCTCAGTACAGTTGTTTTCTGTCGTCACAAGTGTCAATTCAGTTTGTGTGTCCGACAAAATTATCAATAATAGTGATAATTTTAGAATAAAGTGCTTTTCTTACAGTAAAATAAGTGCAATTTTATGTTTTTTTAGTTTCTGTTTTTATTTAATCTTAGAAAACATGTCAACTAATGTGAGACAATTTCGTTTTCTTTGTTATATTTGACACTTATGACGTTGTGTATAATTTGTTCATTTCTCTGTTGCCACCTATTGTACTTGATAATCTATTTGGTTCTATGTATATATAATAACTAAACTATATATTAAGACTGGAAACAGTGGATTAATGTGGACCCTGCTAGTTATATATATATATATTAACTAAACTATATATTAAGACTGGAAACAGTGGATTAATGTGGACCCTGCTAGTTATATATATAAACTAAACTATGTATTAAGACTGGAAACAGTGGATTAATGTGGACCCTGCTAGTTCTATGTGTTCCAACTGTTGCTGTATCTTTAACTAGAACTGCTACGAGGGAAATTTATGGAATAGAAGGAGAACCGGTAAGTTGAAAATGAAATTTTTGTAACAAATGCAAAGAAACACCGATTTTTGGTATGAAAAAAGAAAAAGCTCCAATATCATAAAATTTAAAAACATCGAACCATTCTTGCATATTGTTAATCTTCAACTCTTGATTTTGATATTCAATCTGGGTACCAATAACCATCACGGAGATATCGATTATGAAAATTAATGAAAAAAAATTTTTGCACTGATAATGAAATTTGCAAATATGATGGAAATAATTACAACGGTAAATACGTAATTGTAAAGTAATAAAATAATTTCTACAATTTCTTCAGGCAATGTGATATTTAAACTAATGGGGTTTAGTGCAGAGTCTTCAGTTTATATGAAAACAGTTGGACACTTTCGATTTTTTAAACGTTTATGTGAAATTTTCGAAACGATGGTTAAGCGTCAAAAGAAATTGTTTTTGAAAATCTGAAAAATGATTGTTTTGAAAGAAGTTTTTATTTTGTTTTTTGTTTTTATATCAAATACAGAAAAGGGAAAACATAATTTTACGTTTTGAAACTAAAATATTTATTTTTTATTCTTCGTTTTAAAATGAAATTTTTTTATCTAAAAGTCGTTTCAGATGTTTCTGAAAATAATCCAAATACCACTCAAAAGTCAAAACGTAAACAATTCAAAACGGTGCCCTTCCCTTCACTGCAGATGAGTCCAAACATTTCAATATACAAATTATTTTTATTATATTCAATTTACTACTTTGAGCTGTCTATTACTCCTAAATAGATTTTCTATCTATATACAAATTTAGCTTGTCTGTTTGTTTGTATCCAATAAACGTCAAAACGACTGAACCGATCGGGCCCAAATTTTTTGTGAGACATCACGTAACCACAGGGAAAGTTTATGAATAATTTTTTTTTTTTAAATGTGTTTTAAAGGTTTTTAATTTGTAAAAAAAATTAAATCTTTGAAAATCCGCGAATTTTTTTTTTTAAAAATCCGCAAAATTTGTTTCTTCTTTGTTTTAAAATGTAAACAAAAAGAACATGTTCACAATTTAAATAGAAGATGGGCGCGAAGCGCCCTAAAATCCTAGCAAGAAGGGCGCAAAGCGCCTTGAATTTATAGTTTTAACATAAATAATCTCAAGAAAATATTATTCTAAATAGGCTAGAACATATTAACAAAGGGTCTGAAAAAATATTATGTTTTCCTAAACATGTTAACGTACTTTTGGTAAAAAATATTACAGTGCAAAATTAATATTTTATCATGATCCAAAAAATGAACAAACATGGTATACGGTCACGGACCAATAAGCTTAATATAATGATTTTACAACAAAAGAATCAAGTTTACAGTTGCAGGGCAAAAATTAAAGTTTACAAAAATCATCATTTTTTTCAAAAATGATTTTGAAAAATAGTTTGATCTAAAATATACGTGTTTTATTGCTTACATATTGGTTCCATCAAAATAAATTTGGAAATCTTAGCCGTCCAAGGGTTAAACAATTCTAAATAAAATGTGAACAGCATCTTGGCAATAAAACTCGTAAAAAAACTTGACTTTAAAGTATCAGTGCTAAACTACTTCATGAACTGAAGTTTGTTAAGTAAAGTAAACTAAAATTCAATGATAAACTCAACTTTATGTTCCAAGTTTGTGACTAGTTTAAAACTGGGTTCCAATACTTGATTTTTTAACGATTTTTTGTGTCAAGTTTGTCAACTAGTTTTCTAGTATTCTATACAAGTTCTGTTTGCGGGATAAAAAATTGGCTAAATTTTAGATAGGGATCAATTTTTAAATTATAATTTCCATTTTTAGGTTATGGACTGGGTGTGTGGTTGCTGCTTGCCTGCCTGTACTAATTGTCAGATTGCTATGGAGCACAAAGCCAGAAGTGAAAATGGTTATAATGCTCGTGGACCACCAAGGCACTAATAGGTGTGAATAGTTGAGCTACATATCTGGATTTAATGATTTGAATATATAAACAAATAAGAGGTCATAAAAAGAACAATGTGAACGAATTTTTTTAAAAAAATATTATTAAAATTTTCATTTAAATATCTATTTACTAAAAACATCAATGTATTTCATACCATCGTTCATTCTTATCTTCAGATAAAATGTTTTTAAAATCAAAATACTTGTTGGGCCGTTACTGCACCTTGTGATATAAAATTATAGCTATGTAGTTGCCTAGTATGTTTAAGGTTTGAATTATGAAATTTTCAGTATCTTTTTTATGTCAATTTACCCTCACACTATGCTTGGAAAAAATGTATCCACAAACAAATTCTTATAAAACTTTCAGATTATCCAACTCAACCCTTGACCAAGGCCATGAATGGTTGTAAATTAATCTTTAACGTTCACTGAAAAAATATTTAAAATAAACATTGAACTATTTTTATTTAATTTTAACTTTAAATTTTAACATTTTCAACATTTAAACTTTTTTTTAGCAGCTGGCAAACTCATCCACTTGCAGAAATTCTGAATAATGAAAAGTTTTTAACACTAAAAAAAACAATGAAGCTTGTATTTACCGAAAACTACATTTTTTTTTGAAAAAAAAATTTAAATTGTAATTTTTGTGTGGTCTAGAAGTGCCAGTATTTAAATAAATCAAATAGTTTGTTCAATTTAATATAGAAAATGGAGAGAAAATGCTGTAGGTAATTGTAGTTTAAAAGTATTTTTTATTTTCTCCAAAATATACTAGAGGAGGGGGTGTTGTGTATTTGTGGTCACTCCATATCCCTACCATTTAAAAAGTCGCTGTTAATTCAACCCTTTTTGAATAGGAGGAGGGGTTTCTGGATCAATCTCTAATTGGTTGATTATCTAGATAGATAGAACTGAGTGTTACTGCCCTTGCAATTTCTATTGGTTCTGAATTGTCACCAAGCACTTCTTCAATTCAAATTAAATTTAAGGAATACAAATTTCAAAAAAAATTAAATAGTCCATTACTTTTTATTATTTGAGCTACAGTTGTAAAATTATTTTAATAATTTCTAAAAAAGACATGTTCGTTAATAATTTAAAATTATTATTACAATCACTGGCAGCCATAGTACACTTAAATTTCCGAGCCGGTCAACCTTTCCGGTCCCAGTTTGTACTGTATCGCCCGGATATTGGGTAAATAAAGCAGACACTCAATAGGACTAGCCGGTGCAACAAGTTTGACGCAGTCAGACTTTAGGTTGAATTTATTTTTATTAAAGGGTCAGAGGTGCGTGCAATGTTATGAAACTTTAAATCAAATATTTAGATATTGCATGAAGAGTTCCAATACTGTTTTTTTTTTGCATAATTTTTTGCAGTGATTGCGCAATTTATTTTGGCCTCCGCAAACACTATTTTTGCGTAAAAATGTTGAACTCTGCGGAAAGCTTTTAAGAAGTCGGCTGGTCTTAGTTAGAACATAAAGGTTGCAATATAACAATAAAGTAACAGATTAAACTTATTTGCATTTAAATATACCGATGAAATTTTCAAATAACCAAAAATATGTATTCTAAAGTACTCAAAATAAATGTAGCTAAATTTGCTCATACCTATTGTTTTGCATCATTTATGTGTTTTTTGTCTATGTAATCTATATATAAATTTGGCTTGTCTGTCTGGCCGGGTGTCTGTTTGTTTGTTTGTTTGTATCCAATGAACGTCGAAACGGCTGAACCGATCAGGCCCAAATTTTTTGTTGGACCTCACGTGACCACAGGGAAGGTTTATGAATGATCAAAATTTCAAATATTTGTCTCCATCAAAATTCGATCTTCATTAAATTTTTGAAAATTTTGAAAATCCACGAAGTTTTTTGTGAAAATCCGCGAATTATTTTTGTTTTGTTTTACGATGTACACAAAGAGAACATGTTTACCATTAATTTAGAAGATGGGCGCGAAGCGCCCTCTAAGGCTAGTCTATATCTATTTATAAATTTGGCTTGTCTGTCTGTTTGTTTGTATCCAATAAACGTCAAAACGGCTGAACCGATCGGGCCCAAATTTTTTGTGGGACATCACATGACCACAGGGAAGGTTTACGAATGATAAAAATTTTTTAAAAATGAGTTTTAAAGGTTTTTAATTTTGTAAAAAAATTTTAATTCTTGAAAATCCGCGAATTTTTTTTTTAAATCCGCGAAATTTTTATCTTTGTTTTAAAATGTAAACAAAAAGAACATTTTCACAATTTAAATAGAAGATGGGCGTGAAGCGCCCTAAAAGCCTAGTATCTATAGAAATAAGAAAAACACTCCAGCTTCAATAAATTGTTCATACAAATTATAAACATAAATGGAGTATAGATGTTTCCTGAAGATACATATTAATTACATTCAGAAGAATTTCAAAAACAGCGAACAAAAATTATTGCAAAATAATTACAAAACAAAAACCCAAATTTGAACATTTATGACAGAGATTTAGATCTTTTAATTAAGACCGAACTTGTACTTTTTATTTGATATGTATCAATAATAATACTAATACACATTTTGAATCTTAAGATTTACAAACGCTTTATGTAGTTGTTATTTTAGTTGATGTATAATCAACTGTAGTTGGAAACTTATTAGAACCAGAAATAAAGCAAAAGGAAATTTTTTTTTGTTAAAACAGAAACAGAAGGCTTGCCTCATGCAGCAGAAGGGACTGTATATGAGATTGATGGATTAACAGGAGGAGGTGAAGGCGACCCTTGATATTCTGATGGTGGCTTACCGAGGTCCACTGGAACCAAAGCTGGAGTAGAAGGGGGTAAAGTTGCTTCTATTTGTAAATCAGGTATCGGAGGATATTTCCTATTATCATTTGGACCGACTGTTGGATATCTTTTCTCTTCATCAGAACCAATTAGTGGATATTCGTTTACCTCACCTGGACCAGCTGATGAATGTTCTTTATTTTTGGCAGTACCAGTTGGTGGATATTCCTTTTTTTCATCAGGACCAGCTGGTGGATATTGTTTTACTTTATCAGGACCAGCTGAAGGATATTCTTTAACTTCACCAGAACCAGCTGGTGGATAGTATTTAACTTCACCTGGACCAGCTACAGGATATTTTTTAACTTCACCAGGACCAGTTGGTTGATATTCTTTAACTTCATCAGGTCCAGCTGATGGATATTCTTTAACTTCACCAGGTTCGGTAGGTGGATATTCTTTAACTTCACCAGGTCCAGCTGATGGATATTCCTTAACTTCACCAGGTCCGGTAGGTGGATATTCTTTAACTTCACCAGGTCCAGCTGATGGATATTCTTTAACTTTACCAGGTCCAGTTGGGGGATATTCTTTGACTTCACTAGGTCCAGCTGGCATATATTCTTTAACTTCACCGGGTCCAGCTGGTGGATATTCTTTAACTTCACTAGGACCAGCTAGTGGATATTCTTTAACTTTACTAGGACCAGCTGGTGGATATTCTTTAACTTCACCAAGACCTGCTGGTAGATAATGTTTAACTTCACCAGGACCAGCTGGAGAATATTCTTTAACTTCAGCAGGACCAGCTGGTGGATATTCTTTAACTTCACTAGGACCAGCGGGTGGATATTCTTTAAATTCACCAGGAGCTGCTGGCAGATATTGTTTAACTTCAACAGGACCAGCTGGAGAATATTCTTTAACTTCAGCAGGACCTGCTGGTGGATATTGTTTCACTTCATCAGGACCAGCTGGTGGATATTTTTTAACTTCACCAGGACCAGCTGAAGAATATTCTTTAACTTTAGCAGGACCAGCTGGTGGATATTGGTTAACTTCGCCAGGATCAGCTGGAGAATATTGGTTAACTTCAGCAGAACCTGCTGGTGGATATTGTTGCACATCACTGGGACCAGCTGGAGGATATTCTTTAACTTCAGCAGGACCAGCTGGTGGATATTCTTTAACTTCACCAGGACCAGCTGGAGAATATTTTTTAACTTCAGCAGGACCAGCTGGTGAATATTGTTTAATTTCGCCAGGACCAGTTGGAGAATATTCTTTAACTTCAGCAGAACCTGCTGGTGGATATTGTTGCACATCACCAGGACCAGCTGGAGGATATTCTTTAACTTCACCAGAACCAGCTGAAAGAGTTTGTTTTTCTTCACCAGGACCAGGTGGAGGATATTGTTTTGTTTCAGCAGGACCAGTTGGAGGATACTGTTTAACTTGACTAGGACTGCCGTGAGGGTATTGTTTTGCTTCAACAGGACCCACTGGTGGATATGTCTGATTGTCTTCTGAGTTTGGGGTATTACGAAGAATTGGTGGAAAGTTAAAATGATATATATTCTTGTTGTTGTTAAAGTCATATTTTTCTGGAATCTTGATGTGGATGACATAGTTTTTTCCAGAGTCTCCAAGTTCTTTCAGTAATCTGAAGTTAACAATAGACAATGGAAGACTTATCAAAACAAGAGGAATTGCAATTTTCTAAAAGTAAAATGGGGAAATATTTTTTTCTTTTTAAACCCATATATTTTAAACTAAATTATCTCCTTGTTCCCTTTGTTTAAGATGAAGATGATATGTATGTCCATCATTATCAACATCTTGAACATCATCTGTAGATATATCCACCAGCAGTTTATCAGGAGTTTCTAAAATCAAAACAATTCAAATTATGTTAGTTAAATTGAAGGAGGGTAATTTTCACCAAAAAAAAATATTAAACCGGAAATCTTTATTTGGTTCAACCCAAAATACCTTTACATTTTTTTAAATGTCAATATCTGTAAATTATTGTCAAAATGACTGTTTTTTCACAGCGCAGTATTGTTTAAGTCATTTGATTTTAATAAAGATTGAAACTCTATAGGATACTGGTAAACTAAAGTATAACAGTTGTTACCCTCAAGATTAGCAACATCTTTTAGATGAATTGAGTCAATTTTAAGAAATACTGCAGACGATGAATGAGACTTTATGAGATTCAGGTTGTGAAGTCTTTTATTCAGAATCTGCAAGATATTTGTAAGACTCAGGCCCACCCCTCATGGAAGGATATTTTAGTGTATAAAGTTTAATCAGAAGAAGTTTTATCAACTGACCTGAAGAGTTTTCTTGGTCCAGTTTACTTGAATGCTCCTCTGCAGCTGTCAATTGAATTGTCATATTAGATGGGTCATAGACTTCTGGTTCATTAACTCTTTGCTTGGTTAAAGAATTGATTTGATTTTCCAACTCTGAATATGCATTGGTGTTCTTGATGCTCTCCATATTCTATAAAAATCTTACATTTTGGGAAATCTGTTTCTTCAAATTTGTTGAACATGGAACTGTCAATGTTCATGCCTTATTAATCCATAAATGTAATGAATTTTTATGAACTTTGATTTGACCATGCTTAAGTAACCAGGGGCGTAGTCAGGAATTTTTCCAGAAGGGGCATACATTTTTTCTTTCCATGGGGTTTCAGCACCCATATGGGCCTGAAAACCCCCTGAAAATCATAGATTTTCACTGCTCCAGGGGGTAGGAGGCTTAGCCCACGCCCCCTGACTACGCCTCTGACTGTAAATTTTTTTTTATTTTACGCCTCTTTTCATTAAGTACTAATTGAGTTCGTATACAATCAAAGTTTTATAAAATTAAGATTTATCAATAATCATTGGCTCGGCTATAAATTTTTGATGTGTCTACTGTGAGAACCAAAATACTCTGGAATAAGAAGTCGACTTTTAAATTCAAGTTATGAATTTGTATAGCACATTGAACATGACATGCAGCAATTTCACAATGTAAACAGACCCATTTTACTTAACAACTAATTTTATAGCTTTCAAGAGAATCTATTTGCTTTAAAGAAGATCAAATGCACTGCAAAATGATAATGTTGTCTTCCTATTCCACAGTTTTCTGGTTATGAATGTAAGCAAATTTAAAAGATGTTGGTCTTAGATCACAATTTAATATAGTTGGGTTCTATTGGTAAGATTTTCCTTTTCATGTTCTTTGTTAATATTCTCAAGCATATTATTTATTTCAGCAAAAAGATCTTTCTATATTCAATTTTTAAAGTTAAATTATAATGATTCATAATGCTAAAATATTCTTTCTCTATTTGATAAGATTTTTTGAAACTTTGTTTAAAAACTGATCCCTGATTTTTATGAGGATACACATCAGTCTGCTGAAGGTTTGGCTGAATGGGTTGTCTAAATTTATACAAATTTGTGTTATAACTTTTTTGTTTCTTCAAAATCTAAGCTACCTGTATTCTCCCTCTTTATTTTGAACAGGAATAGGGCTGTTGGTTGCATTTTGATATTGGTCTATAACTTTAGTGATATTTACAGGTTTAGCTCCTAAACTTTCTGCAATATCTGACTCCATGTGGGATATTTCATCAAAGAGCTTTTCACTTTCTGGAACTTCTTTCTTTTCTGCGTCAACTGTGTAAGGGTTTCCAGTGGGGAGTGTTGTAGGAATTTCTTGTGCATCAGAAACTTTTTTATTGCATCTTCCTAATCTGGGGGGACAAAACTGTTTTGTTGACACAATCAGACCATCCTTGCAGGAACAACTTACCAAAAAAATCATTTCTTTTAATGAAAATTGAATATAAAATGTTGTTCTCAATTTAGAAAATATCTGTTTTTATGAAATGATCACAAAAAAAGTAAAAAAAGACCCATTTTGATATTAAAGCAAATTTAGATTTCAACAAATTAATAATACTTGGAATTTTCTTCAGTTTTTTTGTTTTGTTTAAAAAATGTATTCATAGGTTCCTATTGCAACCGTCACAACAATCCCATGATGAACCATCTTCTTTAACTTCGCCATTTTCAATACAATCCTTACTAAGTTGAACTTCTTCAGTAGTTGGGGCATAAGTAGTTTTAATCTTATCAGGACTATAACGTTCTGAAGTTGGGGTGTATGATTCAGTTGAAATGTAATTGATGGTTTCATTTTGATTTCTTTTGGTTTTGCATTTATCAAGGTTTGCAAAACAAGCTCTTTCAGTTGAGATTATTCTTCCATCAGCACACTTACATCTAATAAGGATTTTTTTTTACCATAAAGATGTTTATACTTCATTATTTTGCATAATAAAGACTTTTTATTTTTATTTATTCTACACACATTAATGGAATTGAGTCTTTGCCGCATGTAAAAATTTGCTAACTCCTATATATATTTGTAACCTGACAATGTAAACCTTAGATAATTCAATTTTAGATTACTTGATCTAGCAGAATTTATAGTTTGAAATAACTAAGGTATATGGCATTGGGTTGCAAAGATATAGAGATTAGAAACTCAAGTCTTTTACTAACTATCTATGTTTGTTCTACGTAAAATTCATTATTCATTTGAACTGCATTTCAAATCAATATGTAGGAGGATTAGCTTAATTCAGTGATATATATAATGACGTATATCTTAACTGCGCCCATTTCCTCTGTGTTATAATGTGTAATATGATTGCCTTAATCATGTGATATAGATAGCGACATAGGAATTGTTATTAAGTCTATAAGCTTTAAATTGTGACATATAAACCTCAAATACACTAGTTGATATAGAAACTCTGACTTGATTGCACTGAGAGAGTAATGATTCCCTGTTTTGATAAACAGGTTGAGGATCATGTCCTAGTTGAGACATTGATAGTTGCAATATAGTGTCCAAGTTGAGGCACTGATAGCTAAATATTGCACCTTGTGGTAGTGGTGTTGATAGTTCACCCCATAGTAGTTGTATAGATCCTGTCCTAGTTGAGATATTGAAAGTTGTGAGATTGTGTCCTAGTTGTGGAATTGATAGTTTGAGATCGCGCCCAGTGGTAGGAGCAACAATATAGGGAGTCAAGAGGTAAACATAAAGAAAATGTACAGGAAGAAAAGGTACAGAAAGAAGATGTACAGAAAGAGTGTGTACGGCCTAGACAAGAATGACATGATGGGCCAAAAGAGAGTGACATGAGGTTCTCAGAGGGTATACTGACTATGTGTTACAAGCACAAGATAATACAAATAAAAAATCACAATTTACTATGTAGTTTGGACCCGCATAACCAGAGTAGGTTGTTTAAATTGGTTGGCCCACTATAAACGAATGAGAATTGCAAGCAGCCTTGTACACCATGAATCCTGCTGGATGTTGCAGGACAGATTTCTAAATTGGTTCCCTGACAGAAATGTTACAGTAAATCAAAAGAAGTCTGTCATTAGTTTCCAAGGGAGGTCTACAACAGTGCACTCAAGTTACAACAGAAACCAAGAATGAAATATATTAAGATGTGGAGTCCCTGGAAATGTAGAAAATAAGGGATAGATAACCCTAATTTTTACCAATTAAATATAGGTTAACAAAATATTCTGTAAACCTGCAGTATGATGTACATTATTAGCTATCTATGTTTGTAAACTTTTATGGAAATTCATTATTCATTTGAACTGTGTTTTAGATAAATACATAATAGGATTAGCTTAATCCTGTGATATATATAAAGACTTACATCTTAACTGTGCCTATTTCAACTGTGCTCTAATACTTAATATGAAAGCCATAATCATGTGATATAGATAACAATGTAACATTTGTAATTAAGTCTTTAAGCTTGAACCTGTAACATATAAACCTCAAATACACTAGTTGATATAGAAACTCCAACTTGATTTCAGTGAGAGAGTAATCATTCCCTGTTTTGATTAACAGATTGAAGATGGTGTCCTTGTTGAGACATTGATAGTTGTGAGATTGTGTCCCAGTTGAGGCATTGATAGCTCAAGATCTTGCCCATTGGTAGTGGCATTGATAGTTTACGTAAAAGTAGTTATGTGATCAATTAATTGTTAGTGTCTGAGTTGACATTCATAGCTAATGAGATTGGACCCAGGGTACTGGGATTGATAGACACTAATGGCCGTGTGTCGACATTGATAGTCAAGAGAACCTGAGTCCTACCTGGATAGATACTTCTTCGAGAAACTGTTATGGAGTAGGGCATTTACTACAATTATCTTGCAGAATATAAATAAAAGATGACATAACTTTTACACCTTCCTTTCCATTTGATTAAAAAAAAATTGTAATACTTTTTTAATGGAAATATGATTGAAAGGTAATATTAAAAAAATATGTGCGCACATATTTCTGTAAGCTTTTTAATATTCATGTGAACAAGGAAGGGAACCCTGGACGCCATGAGCCTCTGCTTTGCAGACACAAGTCTCCCTTATTTGCTAGGCAGACCGAGCCTCCTCCATGCAGTAAGAGCCTCTACAATACAGTAAACAAGTTTCAGCTAAACTGAATAGTTTCCTTAAATTTCAAGGTTTTAACATGTTGTGAAGATTTTTTTGTATTTTTTTGAAATGGTGGTAAAAAAGTTTATCAAAGATTATAAGTATTAATCAATTATTATAAAACATTTAGAGAAAAAAATTCTGAAAGTAATTTTATTTGATAATTTTATAATTTTTGATTTAAGCAATACCTTTTTTGAAATTTTTGTCAAATTAAGATAACCAAAAATTTGACATCGACAAAAAACTCTATCTTAAAAAAATTCCTGGAAAAGGTATTGCTTAGATTAAATATTAAAACTAAATAAAGTTCAATGTAGAAATGAATTTCCAAATAGCCTTCTTACTACATTGAAATGTTTTATTGTAAAACATAAATCTTATTAACCCCTCTATGAGTCAATATAAGTTACAAATCATGACAATCAATAAACAACATTATTCTTAAGTAAAATTGTTGTTGAAAAATAGGAAAAATATCTTTATTACATGTTAAAACCAAGAGTTATAAGAAAGCTGTGCTGTATAGTGGAGGCTTGTTTACAGCATTGCAGAGGCTCCGACTGCGTGGTGGAGTCTCTGGCTACCTAGCAAATATGGGAGGCTTGTGACTTGGCCCATGGTGGCTTGCTAAAATTTATATTTTGATGTACCTATTGCAACCGTCACAACAATCCCATGACGTCCCATCTTCTTTCTGTTCTCCATTTTCAATACAATTCTTCCCACGGTGAACTTCCTCAGAATTTGAGTTCTCATTGACGTTTTCTTCGTGATATGTGAAATTCCCATAATTGTTTAAAGCACCTTGTCTTTTCTCTTGCTCGCTATTATAACTTTCTGATGTTGATGAATAAGTCTCAATTGACTTAGAATTATTAATTTCATTTTTGTTTATTTTTGTTTTGCATTTATTCAGGTATGGGGAACAAGCTCTTTTAGTTGAGATAATACTGTCAACAACACATTTGCATCTAAATTATATCAAACTAAATATCATGAAGATATTCATATTTAAAGTGCTTGGGGAAAAAAAAATTTTGTTGACCCTATCATGATTGGGCTATTTATTACCTTGTAAAGATGGAGAGGGGGGGATGCATTCCTCCCTAGACCCCTTTTATTTATCAATTTATACTTCAAAAATTTGTTTACAGCTGTAGTTACAAAAAGTGAAGAAATTTCAGCTTTCTAGTGTAAGACGTTTTTAAGTTATGGAGAAAAGATTTAAGGTGCCCACACATTGTTCCATTAAAACATCCACCATTTTATTAGGGTTTAAAGGACCGTCCCTTTGCAATCGAATTCTGAACAAGGAATCAACTTTTTCTCCATTCACAGTTGTCTTTGAAAAGTAAGGCCAATACTAATCAATAGCTAAGAAGCTATTTAGTTTACCCCAAAATTACCCAAATAAGTGACCAGTCCCTTTAAGGTAACACTTTGGCATTGGCTTGTTTAGTTTATTAGCTTGGAAAAATCGCTCAAAACAAACTGAAGTAAAAATTTTAAAAATGGCTCTCCTTCCCAAATTAAAATTTGTGTGTATCATCCTTAAAAGTGTCTCATTTGTGTGTTTCTTTTTTATTTAAGCTTAAGTTCTTTCTACCAGAAAATACTAAATGAAAAGGATATATATTTTAATCAAAAAGATTAAAAGATTATTAAAAAACAAATCATCTCTCAAAAATCAAATTAATAGTTTATCACCAATTTTTAGAAACTTCTCACTGCTGATACATCAAGTAAAACTTTCCAAAAAGAGAAAAAAGTACTAATCAATTCAGGATAAAATAATTTCCCTAGCTTTCTCTAAAGGATATATTTTTCAATCTTTAAATTTCTTTTTTGATTCTGTTTTTCCCTCTTCACTAAAGCTATTACTTTTTCTGAGAAAATAATAACTTTCATAGAATTATAATCTTCTAAATAAGCTGATATTGTAATTTTCCTTACTTGTTGCAGCCGTCACAACACATCCAAGAATCTCCATTTTTATGTTCTTCTTCATTTTCCATACACAGTTCGACAGGTATAGAGTTTTCAGTTGTATCATATCTATCCTCTTCTCTTCTTATCTCCTCTTCTGTTCTTTTAAGATCCTCTGTCAGTTTTTCTTCTTCTTCTCTTTCTTTATTTAAAGTTCTTTCATTCTCTTTCTCACCTCTTTCCTTTACTATCCCCCTATTATCTTTTGAAGAATAGACATTTTCTTTTTCATTTTTTGCTTTGTCTTTTCCAGCAATTGGTGTGTCCAAACTTTCCAGTTGTTGAAGGGAACTAACTAATTCTTCAATGGGCAATTCATCCAAGTTTGCGGACGACAAATTGGAGCTTTTAAGAATCTCACTTGAAAGTATTCCTTCGGTTTCCTTCGAACCTGATGTTTTTTCAATGTATTTAAACGCATCATTAGGCGGTTTATTGGATTCTAGATCAAGATAAGGTGCATATTTCTCCGGATTTGAAGTGGATTCCAGTGTTTTGTCGGTATCTGGAGCTGAAGATAACAAGGATAAAAATATAATTACAGATTTAGATTATTTTTTATCTTAGGAATATTTGACTTTAATCCAAATCCAAAATATGCACCTTGTCAAATAAAACAAGTATGGTCTATTCTATTATTATTCATTTAAATTACAGAGTAAAAATAAGTTTAAACAAATATTTTTGTGACATTTCAAACTGTTCAGCAATCATTGTATATTGATTCATGTCATTAAAATAGGTATTATTAAGTATGAAAAAGTTTTTTCCGGGATCTTAATTGTTTCTAATTTGTTTAAGAACAAAATGATAGTATTTTCAAACCGATTCTAGTGGTCAAAACAAATTATAAAAAGAAAAATCACAGCAAAAACTTTTTCATACACATGATACCCATTACAATAACAAAAATAGTTTTATTAGATTTTAATCAAATTATTTAATAGCAAGTCGATAAAGTTATTTTGTCAAACCCCATTGTAGGGTGATAAATTAACTTAATCACCCTACAACGGAAAAAATTAGGTATGAAATTTGAAATTTGAATAGCAGGGTGCAAAAAATTACTGTTCACCCTCTTATAGGGTGAAAAACTCACTTAATTACCCTGCAACAGGAAATATTAGGCGTGATAAATTCCCTCAAAAATGAAGAAAAATAATTTATTGGCATAAATTTTAAATTTTTAAAACTTTCTCAGTTTTTAACATTATTTTCAAATTTTTTTCCCTGTTATCTGTCTTCCTTTGTAAGAATCTTGTTTTAGTCCTTCGTTTTCTTGTTGTAGTTTAGAAAGAGAATCTTCGAGAAGAGCAACATCATCTGTTAGTTTATACTCTGATGGATCCGAAACTGATTCCTGATCCTTTACAGGGTTCGGTTTGGAATTAAAAAAATGACAGTGCTTTAAATAAGTGTTTTTATTTTTATTTTTTGGGCTTTCAGGGGGTTGCTCAAAAATCTATCTAGTTAACTAGAATGCAACATTTTAAAAATGTTTAGTGTTTTGGAATTATATTCAATACTGAATCAGAAGCCAAAATAAGCCAAAACCAACAATGCTCATCAGAACTCATTTGTTCAGACTTTTGTAAAGTCTCTAATTTCCATATAGTGTGTTAAGTCCTCGATTTTGTTGTTGATATCTATATATAAATTTAGCTTATATGTCTGTCTTGGAGTTTGTTTGTTTGTATTAAATAAACGTCAAAACGGCTGAACTGATCAGGCCAAAATTTTGTGTGGGACCTCACGTGATCCCAGGGAAGGTTTATGAACAAAGAGAATAGAATAAATATTAGAGAGGAATTTACTGGAAAAAGTGAAAAACAGCCATTTTGTTGTACTGTTTCCATACTGTAGGTGTACTTTGCATATTTATGCTATATAATAACAAATCACACATTGTTACAATATATTCTATTTGTTTATGAATGATCCAAATTTTCAAAATTTGTTAAAAATTTTGAAAATGCGCGAACAAATATTATAAAATTAGCAGTTTTTTGTTTAGTTTTTGCTTTTTACTGTACAAAGAGAAAATGCTCACAGATAAAGCCACAATTAAAAATTGAAATAGACGATTGGTGCGAAGCACCCTAAAAGCCTAGTTGTTGAATATTGTACAAAGACAAGTTGCTCACAAATAGAACAACAATTAAATGTTGTAATAGTAGCGCCCTAAAAGCCTGGAATGATACACTTTGATCTATATTGTAAAGAGAGTGAACGGTAAAATATTAATAAAATCACAATTTTGTGGAATAGTAAATTAATATCCTGCCCAATTCACCAACATTAGCCTTGAAACCGTTATCTGAGCAACAATGAGGAAATTCTAGTTATTTTTCTACAAAAAAATGTGTTAAATTCTCTCAATTTTATCTTTTTTCAATTTTTTCAGAGAAAAACAAGGATTTCTCTGTCTTTTAATGAGACTATTTTTTAATGAATCAAAAATGCCATTCTTTGAATGATGGGGTCACTTGAAATTGTGTCCACAGTTCCTATAGTCAAAGCATGTTAAATTTCAAAGGAATTGAGTCTTTCTCACAAACTTTGATTTTCCAATCCTTATATTTGTGCAACCCACTGGCGTAGAGCTTAGATATTTCAAACTATTAATACTGATAGATTAAATATTTTAAGTTTGAAATATCAAAGATTTACACCGTTAAGTTGTAAAGGAATAGGGATTAGAAAATTTGAGTTTGTGGCAAAGAATCAATTCCTTTAGCAATTAGCATATATAGGAAACATTTTTTAGTTTTCAACAGTCACACTTTCGTTATTCATTCAACGCGTATTATTTCATTGAACAAAGTTAGGTGTAATTAAAATGGCTTTAAGATAAAGGATTATTAGGAACACCAACCCTCCCTTAGATATGGATTCATGGGGATCCTCTAGAGGTTGATATGGCTTAACAGGATTTATTGATGGATTGTATGGATCTTGTAAACTTCCCAAGGTCTGCTCAGAATCTGTTATATTTAATATTCAATTGTTCAGTACAAGATCCCAAAACATCAGTTCAATCTGAACCAGTTCAAGGATTTACAAGTTGATCGTAGTCGGGTGATCAATTTTGGACTTTTATAAAAAATCATCTAACCTCCAACTAGAGGTCCTGATAGTAAACATATTAAATAGGCTTTCTGTCAAATTTTAGCCTTCAAAATTGAAAACTTGCTCTGATCGTTTAGTGGAGAGATGCTTTGCCACAAACTCTGATTTTCTAATTTTTTATGTTTGCAACCCCGTGTCTTGGAGCTTAATTATATCAAACTATAAATTCTTTTAGATCAATAAGTTGAAAATATCAAAGGTTTACACCATCAGGTTGCAATGATAAAAGAGTTTAAAGATTTGAGTTTGTGGCAAAGACTCGATTTCAAAATTCAACAAAACCTATAAAATCCTAAAGAGCAAAAAGTGTTTTGGCAGGTTTTCTCCGTTACATAACACACAGAAATATGACAGTTTAAATCAAGCCTCTCATTTTCAAGGTTGACCAAATATTTGTTAAATTTCTGTTCTCATAAATACTTTAAAATTTACAATTTTTGTAAAAGTTGTCTATTTAATTACTTTATGATTCATTGGTTGAATCTGTCTGCAAGGAGAAGGACTATATGAAGATTTAAAAAAAACTTCTACATATATTTCCTATTTTGAGGTTGTGCATTCTAAATATAGAGAACATTCTAACCAATTCGGATTATTACGGTATACATATATACATTCAAAGAATTATTATGTAAAGATAATTATTTCAGAGGTTTACGCATTTTTCGTACTGCAGTGTACTGTCTCTGGGCGGTAAAGTAAACACAAGCCGGATGTTACAGTCTTACATGGAATCCATTTTCACATAAAATATTAATGAAATATTCTGGTTATAGGAAACTGTTATTTGAATTATCAAAATTATATGCTTTAATCCTCCTCTCATACTAGCAGAATACTATAACATCTATTTTTGTTTACAAACATCGCCCAGAGGGAACTGGTTTCAATATAAACGCAGAGAATACGCAACAGCAATTAACTTTCCTTGCCTTATTAACCTGTATATATTTATATAATTACTGGTGTATAATTTCTAAAATAACTGACTTCCACTTAAAGAGGAACAGGTTCGATTCACAAGGGTGCCCTTTCAACCAGTATTTGATGAACAATGTAAACTATATCGTCGTTTTTCTTGCTTGAAAAGCTATTTATTTTTTTAATTTCCTCAAGTTGTCCTGCATCATAAATCCGCATTCAATCCAACTTGAATGGAAAATGTTTAATTTGACTTGAATCGGAAATTTGACTCTAGGACTGGATGGTCACCCTAGATTCCTTTAAGTATTTTCCAGTGACAAAAAAAAACAATAATTTGCTGAAAGTTTATATTATTGCTTTTCTAAAAATGTTATAATTGAAAATTTGATTAAAAACATCTGGGTTTTCACAATGAATTCTTTTACTTTTTGAAAAATTAATTTGAATTTGAATTTGTTAACTTTGTGACTGCATTTGTCCAAATTATTGTATTGTATTGTATTGAAAGTAAATACATATTCATTTTGTCAAATAAAAAAGTTTTTCTTCTTTATTCCTCAAATCTTGGTAAGAAATGGGGTAAACTATATTCATTACCAGAAAACTGTGAAATAATAATACTAAAGTGAATTTGGTGTTAACAAAATAGTTTAATAAAAACTTACAAAGTCATTTATTAAGTTAAATGGGGCTGTTTACACTGAGCACTTTTTTGTTCTCGAGATGTTTATTGGACTGATCATCCTCTTAACTTGATTCTAATTAAAGTCGTATTCCTATTCCAGAGTTTTCTGGTTCTCGCTGAAGATATGTGTATTGTGTATACCATGTATTTGATAATGCAGGTTTATTTCAATTTATTCTTAAAATATTTATTTTTCTGGTGAAATGTTTTGTTTTTAAACTGCAGACAAATACTTTTACATTTATAAGGATTCATTTTTTATTCAAGTTTTTATCTTATTAGAATTTGTATTAACAACTTTGCTTCCAGAGGTCGAAATCAAATAATATCCTGGAATTAAGAAAAGAAAAGGTTCAACCTTAGGACAATTTAAACTCCTCTTCATCTCAAAAAGGGGAAATAAAAAGATTGATCTGAGCTGAAAACTTTAGAATAATGAATATCAAGATTAATACTTAAACTCCTGGTTTTGCTGAACCCAAGATTTTTTTAAAACACTTTTGATATCAAAGAAAAAAGTCAAAAATTTAATAAATCAGCGTAATGTTAAGATGTACTTTTTAGCGTGTACATTGGATAATCAGATTATGCGATCGTGATTAAGGATATCTCATTCTAAAGTGTTCAGCTCTGCTCAAAAAGGATTAAAGAAATAAAGAAACTGAAAACTCTTATATTTCTAATTTAAATATTTAAAGTTACAAATACGTTTTGCATCATTTATTGTTTTATTATTTGATTTTTAAAGAATAATCAGTTTCATATATTAAAGGAACTGTAAGCGTGATTGACCCTATATGCGCGCAAAGATTCATGACTAACAAACCATCTTGAAAAGGGATCAAAAACGTGGAAGATATTGTCGTTTTTTCTAGGTCCCTTGAATTAAAGCATATGTTTTTATTCCTATCGTAATTTTTAAAGAAAACCATAATACTGAACAAAGTTTTCCTAAGTTTGTAGGTATGGCGTCAGTGTAACAGATAATCAGTGCTATATATTTAATAGTATTATACATTTTTGTTTGTATTGTGCAGTTTGTACATTTGTCAGGGTATGGCTTAATGTACAGTTTCAGTTACTGAAGTCTGTATTCTGTACTGCTTTCAGTGTACTACCAACTGTACAGTTTTCAGTTTATTGTATTTTGTACTGTTTTTAATGTACTGCCATCTGTTCAGTTTTCAGTATATTGTATTTTGTACAGTTTTCAAGGTACTGCCATCTGTGCAGTTTTCAGTATATTTTATGCTGTACAGTTTTCAGTATACTATATGCTGTACAGTTTTCAATGTACTGCCATCTGTGCAGTTTTCAGTATATTGTATTTTGTACAGTTTTCAGTAAATTGTATGCTGTACAGTTTTCAGTAAATTGTACGCAGTACAGTTTTCAGTATATTGTATTTTGTTTAGTTTTCAGTATATTGTATTTTGTTCAGTTTTCAGTATATTGTATTTTGTTCAGTTCTCAGTATATTGTACGCTGTACAGTTTTCAATATATTGTATTTGTTCAGTTTTCAGTATATTGTATTTTGTTTAGTTTTCAGTATATTGTATGCTGTACAGTTTTCAGTATACTGTATGCTGTACAGTTTTCAATATATTGTATTTTGTACAGTTTTCAGTATATTGTATTTTGTTCAGTTTTCAGTAAATTGTACGCTGTACAGTTTTCAGTATATTGTACGCTGTACATTTTTCAATGTTGATAATGAAGTGAATACTATTGTTCCTGGTAGGATGAGTGTTCAGTTTTCAGTATATTGTACGCTGTACAGTTTTCAGTATATTGTACGCTGTACAGTTTTCAATGTTGATGATGAAGTGAATACTATTGTTCCTGGTAGGATGAGTCTAGCACAATGATTATCTATTAGAAGCATGTTAACCCCAGGAGTATTGTTACACTACTAGAATATCAGGTGGAACAATATCACATTCATAAAACGAATTTACGTCAAACAACAAAATTTTAATATCTTTAAGTCGGAAACTAGATTAAAACTCAGCGTTCCTCATAAACTCATAGTTAATCCCGCCGTTTACCCGAAATTTGTTGTAAAAAAAAACCAGTTTTAGGGTTTTTCCCCTTTAAAAGTGGACCTACTCAACTTAGAATCTCAATAACCAAACTCAGACCATTCCCGTGGTTCTCTCGAGTTCCCCAATCAAAATTTAAGGAAAATCAGTCAAGGTATCCATGAGTTATGATCAAACATACAGAAAAAGATTTCAACTTTATTTGTAAAGAAACTACAATTAAAAATAATACATTTTCTGTGGTTAACCAGCTAATAAAAATCCTTTAAGTTTTTATGCCTTAAAAGTAAAAAAGGACAAGGTAATAATTTCAAATATAAGAGTGCTACAAGTAAAAAACAGACGGGGTGGCGTCAAATGCATCCCCCCCCCCACGAGGCCTGTTTAGGGTTTAACGTAAGAGTGTATCTAATTGATCAGACAAAGCTTTAAACAAGGGGCTCCGCTCTGTAAGTGGAAAGTTACTTAAATATCCGACAACACTTAATTTCCTTAAAGAAGAATTTATATAAATAAGATTTCTGATAAACACCAATAAAAGTTTATGAATTGAATTCGATTAGTTCTGTGGAGGGGAGGGAGACGAGAACCCCGAAGAGAGAGAAAAAAGAGAGAAACTTAATAACAAGTCTTTACTTACACTCTCTGCTATCAGGGTGTCTCATCCGAGTAATTTTTTGTTGTCTCTACATCTCTAAATTTTGTATTTTTAATCATCTATCTTTGTTGGATTAAAAAAGGCCCCAATAAAAACTAAAAAGTTAAAGAAATTTCAAATTTTTTATGTAACCTATTTCTAGGCCTTAAAATATCGGTCAATTTTTGTATAAAACGTTGTTTTTTATTTAAAGAAAACAAAATGCGCACAATCCTATGTCACAAGACCAATATCTAATATCAGGTAAAAAAAACTTTTTTATAACCGCCCAATTAAACGGGACATTATGCTTTTTAGCCGGGGGGTTTAAAAATATCTTTTTTAAAATTTCCCACGCTTCATTAGAATTATAGTTTAAAATAAAAAACCCATACTGAATAATAACCCTTATGAAACAAAATTGTCTCTGCTGAATGAAAAAAAAATATATATTTTAAATTTACTGACAATTTAGAGTTCGTAATAAATTTTTTTTAGATTGATTTTTTTTTCTGAGAAATATAACAAATAATTCAATTCAACATTAAGTTTTCTGAAATTTTAAAAACAGATATATGTAAAGTTAAATTAATTCTCTTTTATTTACATTTAACTTTAAATGATTAACAAAAAAAATAAGTTTCTCTTTCAATGGTTCATTCAATTTAGCGGTCTACAGTTTTCAAAATAAGTACAGGGTTACCCACTGTCTGTCTAGTTTTTCCCCCAATCATTAAAAATGTTAAAAAAACTTTATTCAAGGCAATAGTCATAATGTTACCTTGTCATATTCAAAGTCTCATTTACAGTCTCATTCTTTGTGGGTAACTCTGTAGGTCTTGAAAATTATATATTATAAGTTGAAAAATAAATTGTGTTTTTGATGAAAAAATTGTTATTTTGATAAAAATATTTTTCTTTCTGATTAATATTATCCATGAAAGTTAAGTTCCGAGTTGAAAACAAAATATGGATTGTGTGAGAAAATTATTTAAAAAATCAAAATCATATAATTTTGTTGATTGATCAATAGAGATTCGAAATTTTCGTTCAATTTTCGCAAAAATGTTCGTTAAAAATTTTTAACAATCTTCACGAAATTCGCTCGAAAGTTTCACGAAATTCGTTAAATTTTCAAGAAAAAAAAATTTCTCGCAAAAATACAATTTTCTTGATGCAAACTAGAAAAATTTCGATTTTTATCGAACGAAAATTGAACGAAAATGAGGTCAAAAATGCATCAAAATTCGCAAAAATGTTCAATGAAAATAAACTTTTCGCACATTTTGTTCAACAAAAATTTCGATGGAAACCCTTTTGGTCAAACGTCAAGACCTGATTATCTATTCAGTTATCAAGAAAATAATCCTCGTACTCCTCTTTAAATGATTTACTATGACTATAGTGAGACAGACGATGATAGGATAGGACAGGACAAACGTGGGACGGACGAACATAGGATATGACAGGACAAATGTGGGACAGATGAACATAGGATATGACAGGACAAATGTGGAACAGACGAAAATAGAACAGGACAAAAGTGGGACAGACGAACATAGGACAGAACAAACCTGGGACAGATAAATTAAACAGAATACGGGAAAAACGTAAAAAATTTTAAGACGAACCAAAGGTTAAACAAGTTAAACGTTGGACAGAGGGAAACGTAGAACACTTGGTAAACTGTGGGACTGGTTAAAATGTAGGACTAGAAAAAACATATAAAAGACTAAATACAAATATAAATGAAAATATGTATAGTAACATTTTAAAGCATTCTTGAATCATATCATTTACATCCAGAATGGGGGAGCTTTCCACCTTATGTTTAAATTTTGCTGGGGTGGTTATATATTTGTATGCTTCAACATTTCTCTCTTTCCCATGCTCGTCCCTTTTCTGCGTTTGTCTCTCTCCTACGTTAATACTAGGACCGAATTTAATGAATTTAAGGGGTCGCTGAACTGCCTACCCCCTGTTCTAATTTGAACCACTAATTTAAAGTAACAGATTAAGGTTGGTAGTTCAGCGACGTAGTTCAAATTCATTAATTCCGGTCCCAGGACAAACGTGCGAGAGAGAGACATTGAGGATAGGGAGAGGCACGGGACAAAGAGAAACATAGGACCGTACAAAAGAAGTGGCACCTTAAATGGAAGGTTACGTAGGTCCTTTAATACCACCATTTTTTTCAGATTTAGTATGAAAGAAAAAGAGGAAGTACACATCCCAGCTGCGGTTTGTTCTTCTTCTTCAGAACAATTCTCTTCATCAAGCGACCAACCCAACATATTAGTACATCCCACCTCTATACCACTCATTAACATTTGTCATCCAAGTAGGTTTTTTAAACTATTAAAAAAGTAGTTGACTCCACACTAGTGAGAAAGGTCAAGCATGTCCGCACCATTAAAGTTGAAACCGAGGGTAGGGTCGAGCCGGTTCAAATTCAAATTGACCCCAGTTCACCGTGACTCAAATCTAAATTGCCTAGTATGAAACTTGAATCAAGCTATAACACATTTGAATAGATCAAAAACAAAGTTGAATCAAGTTAAAAATAATTGCGTGTTAATTTTACTTCTTAATATGCTTTTAAAAATGTCTAGACTTTTGATAGTTCAAAAAATATACTTCTTTAATTAAATAATATAAATTTTAAATATCAAAGGTGTACATCATAAGGTTTCAAATATACAGGAAAAATTTCGAAAATTAGAGTTTCTTCAAACTGCAATTATATTTCATTTGCGTGTTCTCAGCAAAAGTGATAAAAAAAAACAATATAAAATTATCAAAATTAAAAACTTTTTGAGTTTTTAAAAAGACACGTTTTATTCCACATTTTTGATGAGGTGAAGGATTGAAAGATACTATTTTAAATCTGGGATGACCCTCTTCAAGTTGAATGTCACATGAAGTATCTTTAAGCTTGAGATTTGACTTAGAAATTTTATCTAGATAGGGTTTGCAGTGAAATGGAAACATCGACTTGCGAAACTTTCGTATTTTTCGCGAAATGTTTTGCATTCCTGTCGTAGAAATAAAAACGAACATTTCGCGAAAAATTGAGAAAAGTTTCGCTTTCTTCGAGAAATTGTCCTATTTTTTTGTGTGAAATTCTGCATCGTTTTCGCTTCTTTTGCAAAATTCATTTTAGCGAAAAAGATTACCAAAAAAGCTTGCGAAATTTTAAAGTTTTAGCGATATTTTGCATTTTTCGCCAAAGTTTTCTTTCTCTGAAAACCAGCAATATCTAGGCAGTTCGACCATCATGTCTCAGACTCAATCTGTTCCATCTTCAGCAGAAGGAGTTTTACTGCCAGCACCATCCTGCAGTAGTTTAACCTCTATAGCATTAAACTCAGGAGAATATCACGAACCAATACAAGTTATTCAAGGTAAAAATCTTTTACATTTTGTGCTCTCCTAGCCACCTAGGTTTAAGAGGGGGGGTCCCCCTCCTCATTTATTTATATTGGTACAGGTACAGGACTGTAAAAAGTCCAGTCTGGGTAAAAAAAAAACATATAAAACACTTAAAAACTGTTTTGAGATAAAAGCTACAGATTAAAAAAACAACGTTTTTGAAAAACTCTTTATAGAAAATGGATGCACAAACATGAGTCATATGTTAACCCTATTTATCCTCGGGGACTCCCCCCCCTTTTCGCTTTTTTACGATAAATCAAAAAGTATTTAAGCTCAAATTGTCTTACTTTTTTACCTATACCAGACTAAGTCTATATTTAGACCTACTTCCATTTATTGAATTTCAACACTTTATAACTCTATGGAAACCCTTGAAAAAAGCAACCAGATTTAACAATTTTTGCAGTGAACTTTTGCACAGATTTTTGCAAAGAGGGAATTTGTACATTTTCAGTTTTTCTTGAATACACGTACATTTAGATTAAAAAAATTTTGCAAATGATTTTGCACATTTAAATTTTCTCTGTCAAGGGCTTTTCAAAAATATATAATTTGTGCAATTTGCACTAATTTTTGCTTGATTACTAGATTTCGCAATAAATATTTGTTTTTTTTTTGCAAATTTTCCATTTTTTCAGATTTTTGAAGTAGAGGTTTCTAAAACGTATCTAATGTTATAGATTTTTATCCCAATAAGAAAATAGGGTGGGGGGTCAATGACCCCCCCCCCCCTCAATTGGGAATCACTCATAAAACCAGACGTCAGAATTAAAAAATATTTTTGACATTTTCCGACATTTTTTTGACATTTTTTTGTCAACCCTTATTATAACTCATACTTTTAAAGGTAGCGGTCTAACTTTTATTTTAATGAGCTTACTGACCTTGAAAAATTGGGCTATTGACATGCAGTGCGATCCTTTAACTTTACTCTATCCTATTTGTAAGGTGGAAGAGCGGGGGGCGTGGGACGCAATACATAGATTCAGACCCCCTTCCCTGTAAGGCCCTCAGAGGCGCCGCAGGCTGCAATGGGGGCCGATTGGTGCCGAGCGCCGCGGTTAGAACATGCTGGGGGGCCGAGTGCTGCTGATGGGAAAGATTTGGGAAGTTGCCGCTTGGGAAAATGCCTTTGGGAAAGTACCTAACACCTAGGGAATTAATATACATATATACACCAATTCAGACCCTCAGCCTGTATAAGCTCAAATGCTCTAGTTTCTATGGTGCAAAGCTCAAGGTGTAAAACCTTTAACATTTTGAACTTAGATTATTTGATTTAACACAATTCATATCTAAGGTCTACAGCATAGGTTTGCAAATATATAAGGATTATAAAAAAGATTCTAGCATTGTCATGTTTTTTAATGTCTCTCTCTATATATACATATCTATATAGAGAGAGAGAGCTCAAAAAAAGAAAAAAAGCTAGTTTACTTATTAACAAGACCAAATTGACGATAAGTGAAAAAGCATGTTTGTGTCTAGGATAATATTTTTTTGTGAAAGAAATGCTTTTTATTTAAAAAAAAAAAAACCTTGGGCAGAACAATATAGAAAGTATTTATTCGTTTATTATTTAAAACTTGAACTTTTAAAGATCAAACATTAATCTTTGCAATCAAAGGAGTAAACCACTATTTATTTCAATAAACCTGGCATCTTGTATGCCTGTAGATTTGACACCCTATATTTAACTATGCTCTACAAGTGCCAGAAAAATATGCCAGATTTTAATATCAAATTAATATTAAGTGTGAACGTTTTTTAAACGTTTACAAAAACTTTAACAAAAACGTTAACTTCATCGTGCATTTATTTATTTTATTAGTCCGAAACCCAAAAAATTAAAATACATAAAAAAATTTTAAAAAATTAAAAAATTGAAAACGCAATCCGCAAATACAAAGTTCCCACAATTCCAGTTCAATTTATATAGGATAATAGGATAATGATTTAAACGTAAAACAGAATGTAATTAAATTGTAAAAAATTATTAGAACTGGAAATATAAATATTTAGATTCAAAAAAACTTTTAATTGTTGCTTTCTATGGCACCACTTTTTCTTTCATAATGCTTAAAATTTCGCAGATTTTTCATTGTTTATTTAGTTGTTATTTTACTATTGCAGATATACTATTTAAAAATATGTTTAGCACCTTGATGAGAATTAAGATCCTTTTAGTTCCAATTGACCATCAACTATTACATTATATTTCTAATTTAAAATGGTATCCTGGTCCTTGAATACTTTTATTGACAGTAAAAATAAGAAAGTGACCTTCCATTTAAAGATGAGCAACCCAAATTCACAATGGTACCTTTGAGACATTAGATTTATCAATATATCAACAAAAACTCTTGCAATTGTAGAACTCTTTGTGTAAAAGATGTTTTATATTAAAAGGAATATTTACTTTCGTAAAGTAGTAGAATATAAAAATTATAATTTTTAAAAACCGCGAGGGACATAAAATAAACAAGATTTTCCAGTAATAAATGTGACATCATCCTCGTTGAGTTCACACAGTACGCTAGCGTACACTCAATGTTGAGTTCACTCAGTACCCTAGTGTACACTCAATGTTGAGTTCACACAGTACGCTATCGTACACTCAATGTTGAGTTTACACAGTACGCTAGCGTACACTCAATGTTGAGTTCACACAGTACGCTAGCGTACACTCAATGCTGAGTTCAAACAGTACGCCAGCGTACACTTAATTTTACGGTTTTTTCACAGAATTGAACAGGTACATATGTACAATGAGTTCTCTCTGTCCTTAAATATTTGTTAAAGGGTTCAAGGATACCGTTATGAATTGGAAATGTCCATTTATAAATAAAAGGTAACTTGAAATTGCGTGTACAGTCCTTTTAAAAGTGTCGTTAATGGTTCCTTTTATCCAGATTTATAGGAAATGAAGGTTGATTGATGATTGATAATTTATCAAGATGATTAGACATAAATATTATTTTCAGTTGCGGTTCTTGGAACTATAGAGGATATGAGGTTAAGACATTATGAGCTCAAACAGGAAAAGGTTTAATTAAGAATTTAAAAAAAAATAATTCAGCAAAAACGATTGTGAAGTAAATATGTTCTTGAAAATTCTTTAAGGTCGATAGCTTTATAAGTGAAAAACATTATTTTTTTTAGTTTTTCAACTCCAGTAGCGCACATTCGGAACTACAAAGCATTCTCGAAAATACAGGTTTATTATTTTATTAATGCTGTATATTGATTAACTACAGCGTTCCCAGTGGAATTTTTGATTAAATCTAATTTTAAAAAAAGAATCGATTACAAAAAGTTAATTGCTTGCCGATGTTACTCAAGGTTTTCCTTTGGTCGAGCCGTTTGGCCACCTATAGCTCTGACATTTAATTATATATATGCATTATACATTGTATATACAAATTTATATGCAGATATGAGCGAAGAGCTTCATTATAATAATTTTAAATTATAATCATCTCGTATCAAATTTATCTTGTTTAGGAAAATCAAATTCATCTCGTTTTTGGAAATCAAATTCATTTTGTTTAGGGAAATCAAATTTATCTCGTTCAAGGAAATCAAAATCATCTCGTTTAGGGAAATAAAATTTATGGGAAATAAAATTTATCTCTTTAAGGGAAATTAAAATCAACTAATTAGGAAATTCAAATTTATCTCGTTTAGGGAAATCAAATCAACTAATTAGGAAATTCAAATTTATCTCGTTAAGGGAAATCAAATTCATTTAATTAGGGAAATCAAAATCTCAATTAGGGGAATCAAGTTCATCTCGTTTAGGGAAATCAAATTTATCTCGTTTAGGGAAATAAGATTCATCTAGTTAAGGAAATCAAACTTATCTTTCAGTGAAATCAAACTAATCTCGTTAAGGGAAATCAAATTCATCGAATAAGGGAAATCAAATTTATCTTGTTTAGGGAAATCAAGTTCATCTTGATTAGGGGAATCAAATTTATCTCGTTGAGGGAAATCAAATTCATCTCGTTAAGGGAAATCAAATTCATCGAATTAGGGAAATCAAATTTATCTCGTTTAGGGGAATCAAGTTCATCTCGTTAAGGGAAATCAAATTTATCTCGTTTAGGGGAATCAAGTTCATCTCGTTTAGGGAAATCAAATTTATCTTTTTAAAGGAAATCAAATTCATCTAATTAGGGAAATCAAATTTATCTTGTTTAGGGAAATCAAATTTATCTAATTAGGGAAACAAAATTTATCTTGTTAAGGGAAATCACCAAATTTATACGAAGCTGGCAGTTTCTCAAACCAAGAGGTCAGTATTTTGGTTTTTCATTTTATTTTCGAAAAAAAAATTTTGCTTTAGAAATTCTTTTAAATCGAAAAGTTATTTATAGTGCAGATAATTAGCGTTTTTCTTGCTCTTGAAAGCAATTAGGTTATAAACTGAATATTTGCTTTATAAAAGGGACAATCCACGGGATATAAAACAGAAAGGGACTGTTGATGTAATTATTTGTAAAAGTCTATTTAAAGAGTAACATGGTCAATTTATAACGGTACCATTAAACCCTACTTTGATCAAGAAAGACTGAGTTATCCTTGTTTTACTTGAAAATTGATTATAAAAGCCTGTGATATCAATTTAAAGCAAGGTACAGTTTATTGCTGCAAACTGCAGAGACAAAGACAGTCATTGTGAGAATTTCCCACTTTTTTCAAGAAAGAAGGAGAACAAAATCTTATTTATATATAGATTAGGCGGGTTGGAAAGAAGGGGCGGAAATGTCATGTGTTTGCGCTTGTACTTAGGGTTGTTAATCGTTTTCGTAAACGATCGTTTTTAAATACGACCCACTCGTTTTGAACTTTTAGAAAACGAATAGCGATCGTTTTTGAAAACGATCTTTTTTATTAAAACGATTATACGATTGTTTTTAAAAAAACGATCGTTTTTGAAAAACGATCGTTTTTGAAAAAAAATTGTATTGACAATTATGTTAACGATCGTTAACGAAGGGTCGTCGTTAACGATCGTTAACGAAGGATTGTCGTTAACGATCGTTAACGAAACGACGAACTTTATCAAAATGGTCGTTTTTGGAGAAAAAAATTACATGCAACTTTATTGAGTGTATTCTTACATGAAGTTTAACAGTTGTGGGGGAGTTAAAACTCATTGATATTTTCTTAAAAACTACACAATGATAAGTACAGATGTTTTCTTTAAAACTACACAATGATAAGTACAGATGTTTTCTTAAAAACTACTCAATGATAAGTACAGATGTTTTCAGGTCGGTTTCCTCTCTTCGTTAACGATCGTTCACGAAGGGGTCGTCGTTAACGATCGTCAACGAAGGGTCGTCGTTAAAGATCGTTAGCGAAGGTTCGTCGTTAACGATCGTTAACAAAGGGTCGTCGTTAACCATCGTTAACGAAGGTTTGTCGTTAACGAGGGGTTGTCGTTAACGATCGTTAACGAAACGAACAATTTTATAAAAAACGATCGTTTTGAAAAACTATCGTTTTTATTAAATTCGTTTCGTTTTCGATTTTTCGTCGTCGTTTTCATAACGAAACGATCGTTTTTCTGAAAAATGAAAACGTTAACATCCCAATTGTACCAAAAGAGTGTGCGTGTGTAATAAGGAACCGAAAGTTGTACTGTCGTTTTATACAGTACAAAAGAATCTCGTTATTTGTACAGTCTATGAGAGTACATTTATTTATTGTTAATTGTTTACTTAAAAATAAGTTTAAAATACATGTAATATATTATTTATATGTTTAAGTCAACACTATAAGCCAAATTTTCATTATTCAAGCTTAATTATAATTGACGATATTGTTCTGTACTTTCCTTGACTGTAGTCATATTGTGTGTCTGTACCAAAAGAGTGTGCGTGTGTGATAAGGAACCTGTCTGCAAAGCAGTGCACCTGGCTTTCTCATGCCAGACCAGCGCCATTTCCGTTCCCTTTATTCTTATTCCATGGTTGGATATTAAATATCCCGATTCTGGAGGAGAGTGGCATTTTGGATTACATTAACAGTTCTGAGTTGAAAACTTTAGAATGGGATATCCCTAATCTCGATCGGTTCATTAATCTGGAGATTAGTAACAAAAGGAAAACAAGCATTATTTAATCTGGAGATTAAGAAAAAAAGGAGATCAAGCATTGATCTCTATATCCACCTTTATAAAGTTTTCAGCTCTGTAAACAATAGAATAATGGGTTTTTTCAAATTTTTTAGATTTTAATTCTAGAACCCCGATAAGGTTCAAATGTTTAAACATGCTTTTTTATTAAGAACACAAAACTTCAATCAGTCCTGAAAGAAAGCATGAAGAATGCCACTATAGCGAAGTAAGTATAGACATTTATTTTTTTATCATTATTTATCATTTTTGGGAAATTTAAAGTTGTTCTATCTATCTTGAAAATGTCCTATCTATGTAGAAAATGTCCTATCTATCTAGAAAATGTCCTATCTATATAGAAATGTCTTATCTATCCAATATGTTCTGTAACAAGAAATGTTTTATCTATCTAGAAATATTCTTTCTATCTAAAAAGATTCCTATATCTAATTATGTTTTATTTATTTAGAAATTTTCTATCTATCAATAAAATGTCCTTTCTATCAAGAAATGTCCTATCTATCAAAATGTCCTATCTATCTAGAAAATCCTGGCTATCTATCTATCTATACAATGTTTTCTCTATATTGAAATGTCCTATCTGTCTAGAAATGTTCTATCTATGAATGAAATGTCTGATCTATTTAGAAACATCCAATTTATCTATTTATCTATCTATCTATTTATGAAATGTTTTATCTATCTAGATAAACTATATATAAAAAGTGTCAACTATAAAAATTTCCATTTTTTGAAAGTATTTTGATTTTGTTATCTCTGAAATCACAACTATACAATGGCTTTAATTGTCATCATCATGGCAATCATTAATTATCACTATTTTAATTACTTTATCCATATTTTGTTAATTGTGTTCTTCGTTGAAGAAAGTTGGAAGAATGGGTGAGAAAGAAAAAAATAACGGAGTACAAAACCTCCACTGTAGAAATGTACTTAAGGAATGTAAATAATTCAAATTGTTGTACTATTTTTTATTGTACTATTTTCTTGGAATATTTTTAATTAAGATTTGCTAAACTTGTCGCAAACCTGAAGCATTTTTCTCTTCCAGTTGCAAATTAGTTGTAAATTAAAACTAAAAATGTTATTCATTTTATTGAAAATTAGTCAAAAAACAAAAAGAAAATTATTTATCACGACTCTGCAGTGGAATAAACGAGGTGAGAATTTTTAACTAGTTCTAAGGGGAATATTTTCTTGAAATCTAGCGCAGCGGTCAGATTAGTGACTATAGCACAAGAGGTGTATTTTCAAAATTTCAAAATAAAAGATGTGTCAATAATTTTCCTGCATTTTTCTTCTTTTCTAAAATGAAATATATGTTTTCAGATTTACGATATAAATTGAGTCTATATATTATTTATTATAACGGGTATAATTTCTTTTTGAACTGTGTGCAATTTATTTATAGTGGTTGATGCACAACGGTACCCTTTAAAGCTTTGTCTGATCAAGTAGGAATCCGATATCCATGATTAATAAATAGAAAACTGATTATTTTTAGTTGTGCTTTCCCAACAACATTGACTTGCGCATTTCTACCGCATGAAAACGTTCAGGAATTATCAGAATTTATTACCTATAAAAGAACATCTTCAACATTACTGATAAGATATAGTGTTCAAGGGAACCGTAGTGTATAGGAAACTTCCATCTTTAAAATTACTCAAAACAGTCCCAGTAAAGAGTCGCAATGTCTAACATTAAGTAATACAGGGATCGCCATAATACAAGCGAATATAGTTTTTTTTTCATTCCGTTCAATATCTCTGAGGTTATTAAACGCTAAACTTTAAAGCTCTAGCTCGATATCCAGGCTGTGCCAAGGGCTTCCAACGATAAACCGTTTAAATTATCTTCCTTAAACGCCGTTAATGAAATTATCAAGGAGCGGAGAAAGAATAGAAAATACCGTTAACAAATGGAAACGAACCGCTACCAAAAAGTTGCTTTTAAGAGTTTAACTATAAACAGCTTGAAAAAGGCTTATCTTGCCCAGCTGCTGGGGTCCATATAATTCCATCTTATACGATCCCAAATGTTGATTGATTGATATTAGAAAAGAATAATTGGAAGTATAATGTCAATTGTTGTAGAAAAATGCCATATACTTTAGAATTTTAAACTGTTTAAGGGTGTGTTTATTTTTCTGTATGTCAAAATTATCTCTTATTTTGATCACTGATATGACATAATCTTTTAACAACATTTCTGAAATGTAGTACAGTTCGTACAGTACAGTACAGTACAGTACAGTGCAGTACAGTACAGTACAGTACAGTACAGTACAGTACAGTACAGTACAGTACATTTCGTACAGTACACGAACACAAAAAAACTTGTCAAAGTTCACAATGACACATATAAAGTGTATTTTCATGCCCATAAATGTACTTTCAACCCCGCTCACGTTTGTGATCAGAAATGGAATCATATGGACCCAGTTGCCCACAACCCAGCCCTAGTTTTGACTTAAGAAGTTTTAACTTCTTAATCCTTCAATTCTGTTTATCCTGAAGGGTTTCAATACCAGGACCAGGAGGGATTAATTTAATTCGTAGCAACTGTTTACCGTATAATTATCTCTGAATAATCTTAAAATAAAATTAAGTCTTTGCCACAAACTCTAACTTGCTAATACCTACTATATCTTTGTAACCCAATATTGTAGACCTGAGGTATTCAAACTATCAACTATGTTTAATCAAATAATATAAGCTTGAAATATTTAATGTTTAAACCATCAGTTTTCAAAGATACAGATTTGACAATCAAATTCTTAGCGGAGAGACAAAGACAATTATTCCACTGGTTTATGGTCACCACTGAAAGTATAAATAAAATGATTTATTTAGATAATCTGCTTGGTAGCTTGTGTTATATGTAACGTGTTACTGATATGTGGAATAGGGAAGGACAGACCTCATCTCATGATTCCCTGGCTTGTGGTGTATCTCATAGGTATAAATAGTTCATTTTATTGATTAGTTGTTAATCTGATCTCTTCTACTCAGGAACTATTAGTCTGTATATCGGGTCCATTATGATTCTCCTCTCTAATCAGTTTATCAAGGAAATATTCATCATAATGATAATGATGATTATGATGATGATGATGATGATGATGATGATGATGATGATAATAATGACGATGATGATGATGATGATGATGACGATAGTGATGATGATATTGATGATGATGATGATGATTATGACGATGATAATGATGATGATCATGATGATCATGATGATCATGATGATGATCAAGATCATGACGATGATGATGATCAAGATCATGATGATGATGATCATGATGATGATCATGATTATGATGATGATGATGATGATGATGATGATGATGATGATGATAATGATGATGAAGATAATGATGATGATAATTATAATTATGATGATGATAATTATAATTATGATGATGATTATGATGATAATGATAATGATAATGATGATTATAATGATGATGATGATGATAAAGGCTCTGTTACCGTTTTGTATCGGAATACTGTTTACAATTCTGTGGTTCAAGGTGAAAGTGATGTTTCTGGAAATGAAAAAGGAAAGTTACAGAAGACAAAGGTAAAAGAAAAAGATAAATTTCGACCAGGGGAAAGAGGGAATGTTATTTCCCATTCATAATGCTTCACACCACTGTGCCAATTTTGACTTTTAATCTTCTTTTGTTATTTCATTTATACACGAGGTGAGTCTTTGTCACAAACTCTGATTTGCTAATCCATGTATCATTGCAACCCCGTGACTTTAAATCTTTCAAACTATTAATTATGTAAAATATATTAATCTGAATTGAAAATATCAAAGTTTTAATTTGAATTTGAGGCAAAGACTCAATTACAATATATCGGAATTGAAATTACATCTACCGTTCGTCCACGTGATTGGTTTTTTTTCAAAAATTCCAAAAAATTTCATATTTTCCAGGGTTTCGTATACAGAAATGATCACTGCAGTGTAAAAACAAACGGATCAGAGAATCAAGAGTGGAAAAGAATTGTGTTTGAAAACAAATATTTTTTTTTTAAATGTGATAAAATAAAATATGTTTAATGATATTCGCTGAGCGGCAGAAAATAAAATTGAACCAAATGATATAATTTTTGAGGCAGTGTATTCGAAAGTTCAAGAAACATTTGAAAAAAATTGCATCCTTTTGTGCTATGATAAATTTTCTAAAAACTTAATGCCAGTAAATTTTACAATTAGTTTTTTTTTATGTCCAAAATCTGAAAGATTAAAATTTTCATATTTTTCCACAGTTTTTAATACAACATTTAAACCCCAGACTGTAGCGGAATAGATCAAGACCTGCATTAAGTATTTTTTTGCGAATATAGCTTGTTGAAGATGTAATAAAGAAAATATGTTGTAATACAAGTAGTGTGAAATCATTAAATATTGGGTTTGCGTACACTGCACAATTGGTGTTTTTCATGTCCATGCACTATCCAAACTTTAGTGTAACATTCGCTTATCTTTTTTGCAGTTTTATGAAATTATGGGTCAAACACTGTTTTTATCCCTGTCAGATAATTCAACTAACTGTTGAAAAATTTAAACCATGAAATGTTATAGTTTTAAACTTTTCACGACGAAAAAAAACCTAACGACAAACAAATAGTTTTAAAGCAAAAACCATAATTGTTTTAAAAAACTGGGAGGATTTTTTAAGCGAGGTTTAAAAATGTTTTCTTCAAGGAAGAGTTCGCGAAAAATTAAGGGGTTATAGGCTTACGTCGAAAATATTCGATGGTGATTGCTACTAATCTTACGTCCATAAAAATTTAGAAAATTGCAATATTCGACTTGGATCAACTGGGATCGGTAAAAAAATTAAACTTCCAAACAAATCATTCTTATATTACATCGAATATATTTCGACGTATTCGTATTATAGTTTATACTTTATAATATTTTTATTTGTTTTATATTCAATGCACCTAAAGTAACGATTTTTTAAGTCCGCTAGGTGGCTCTGCCACATGGAATCATGCAGAACATTTAGAGCTGAGACACCTGGCGGCCAACTAATCGTTGTTTGAATTTCATCCTAACTAAAACAATTAAAAAAATATTATGAAGTATCAACTTTATAGAATTTGTCGAACAAAATCATTAGTTGTAATATCTAAATGGTTTGTTTGGAATTAAAGTGTTGTTTTTACGATCTGAGTTGAATATTGAAACTTTCTGAATTTGTATGGACGCTACGTTCTTCGGTATGAGTCGTTTTTAACAATTTTCTCCTAATAGACGCAACAGATAGAAGTAAGATTAGTAGCAATCACCAATGAATATTTTTCGACATAAGCAGCAATATATAACCCCTTATATTTTTTGAGAATTTGTGAATTTGTAAAAATGGCCTTCGTAAACTTCCATCAAAGAAACTGATTCGTTTTTTAAAATATCTGTTCGTTTTCATTAACTATTAATTGTTATTGAAACAGTCAAAGTTGTATTTAATAAAGTTGAAACTGACCATCACTATACCTAACCTTACGTCCAGTGTTTATATAGCACAGTTCTAAAACATAAAATGTAAAAGTCATGAATATTTCAAAGTTTTGTGGAGCCTATTAAAACTCAAAAATACCCAAAAGTAAAAAATGAAAAAAAAAACTTTAAGCACCCTGATCTCTAATAGTTCTCCTTAAATCTATTAAATTGAAATATTTTGTTATTATTATTAAGATTAGGTGGAAAAAATAATAAAAACAGCCAAGAGCTATTTTCCATCTAATTGCTTTATACTTGTTCTGTTAAAATAATCATCAATTTGTAATTGTAAACTGGTTTTGTACACAAATGCATGTATTTTTGCAACAAACTTTATTTATCCATCTATCTATCTACCATGACCATCTCTTAACTTCTTACTTTTTTAAAATAAAAATTTCCAATAGTTGTAAAATTGATTTCATGTAAGATTGTAGTTTTGTTTCATAGCTCATTATCATAAAAAATTAAAGCATAAATATATACAAGAAGGTTATGATACCAATACTAACCTCTTAGAAATACTTAAGAATACATATTGTATAAAAAAAATAATAATAAGTATAAAATATATTCAATTTCTAATTTGCTGTTCTTTCTAATCGATTTTTAAATATATTTTTTTTACTTTTTAAAAAAAATTTCATTCAAACCAATTTTTCCACGGGCAACGCCAGTATACAATAAGCTTGTAGCTCTTAGATATATATATACATATACATTTATATGTGAGCTTTAGCTGGCTAAACAGCTGAACCAAATGGGCTGAATTTATTTAGGGAATCCATTGTACACGGGGGAGGGGTAACAAAGGCTAAAATAAATTCGACATTTTTTTTCTTAAATGTGTTTAGAATTCCACGGGGAAATCCGTGCATTTGAGATGGTACAGTTATATTTTAACAAGGTTTCATTTACGTATATGTTTATTTTCAGCGATCAAATATTGTCTAGTGAACATATAATAATGATAAATTTATTAAATAGTGTGCATATTCTCTTATATATTTATTTTATTATCATTCATTTCATCTTTTGTGATTTTATAAGTATTCACATTAATTTCAGGATTTGTTCCGATTATATTGTTGAATTAACATTTTAGAGAACAATTAATAAACAATTTCTATAAATGCCAATAAAACAAACAAAAAACAACAACAAACCAGAACAGATCAACCAAAAAAATGTTAAACCTGAGCTCAAAACTTTAAAATGGTGAATATCGAGATTAATGCTTGATCTCCTCTGTTTCTTAATGTCCAGATTAAATAATGCTTGTCTTGTTATTAATCTCCAGATTAATTAACCCATCAGGATTAAGGATATTCCATTCTAAAGTTGTCAGCTCAAAACTTATGATAATAATAGTTTTATGATCATATTCATGACAAACCAAAAAGGATAGCACTGCTTAGATACTTTTATTCTATAAAAATTTCTTTTAAAATATTCTTGGACTGCTTTGTTTCATCCTAAGAGAATAGAATATATAAGCAGAACCAAATAAACGTATTCAGAACCAAAAAGAAATTATGCTGAACCAAACAGAAATTTTGCAAAATCAAAAAATATTTTTGCAGAACCAAATAAACTTATGCGGAATCAAAAAAAAACTTATGCAAAACCAATTAAAACTTATGCAGAATCAAAAAAAAATGTTATGCATTTAAACCTTATGCAAAATCTAGTTCAGCTTATGCATAACCAATCAAACTTATGCAGAACCAAATAAACTTATCCAGAACCTAATAAACGTATGCAGAATCAAATAAATGTATGCAGAACCAAATAGATTTTTTCAGAACCTAATAAACGTATGCAGAATCAAATAAATGTATGCAGAACCAAATAAAAATTATGCACAACCAAAGAAAACTTATGCAGAACCAAATAAAACTTATGCACAACCAAAGAAAACTTATGCAGAACCAAAGAAAACTTATGCACAACTAAATAAACTGAAATGCAAAACCAAAAAAAACTATGGTGAACACTTTTTGATTTTCTTCCAAGGAATGCTGTTAACCTTTAGCATCTCAGACTCCTGAAAAGGAAAATTTATTTATATAAAGTTGTAATCGTTCTTTGTATGTCTGTCTGTTTGTGTGTCAGATGTCAAGAACCTCTGGACCGATTTGTCCCAGTTTTTGGTAGGTAGAATTTCGAGAGTGTTCTTTGATATTTATATAATAAAGGTTTCCAGACAAAGCTGGGTTCTCAAGTTAACTAAAAAAAATTCTAATTGATTTATTTGATAAAGGTTTTCATTAACCTTATACCGGTCTACGGGATGTTTTTTTGTCAAAATAAAGCACTAGAGAGAGATTCAAATTTTCTTATTTATCTAACATATTTTAACAAATTTTAAACAGTTTTTTTTGCAAAGGGTAGGGTCCAGGACAAAAAAAAACCGGTTTAAATAATCTGTTTTATTTCTGAAAGGGAGTGTTGCAAAAAATGAAAGAGGGTATAAATATGCTGATATTGAATTAAATTTGATATCGATCAAGAGCATAGGACCCATAAAAATCATTTGCATTAACTCCACTCAGATCGTAAATAATTCAATTATTTTAAAATAAATTTTTTCAGATATCACAACCTTAAATAAATGTCGAATTCGATGCATTCGTAAAAAGTTGAAATTTCATAATATATATATTTTGTAATAAAGACATTTTACTTTGAACGGCGATCATTTGCCGTAGATATAATGTCAAATAAAATTAACCTTAAAGGGAGTGTTTGTGAAAAGTAAAATTGACCTTAAATTCCAGTTTTCAAAATATTACCTGTATTGTGTATGCTAAAGGTTTGCCCGCAGTTTCAGGTAAACTGAAAGCCCACAATCCAGCTAAAAAATGTTCTTATTTTAAAGGGACTGTAAGCGTGATTTTGAGTGACCCTTTTTTGCAAAGATGCCAATGCCCGATTCACAATTGTGCCATGTATGAATCAAACATCAAGATGAATCATTTCTAAAACTCATTTTCATCAATTATTGTTTCTTCATAAAAGTGACTTGCGCATTTCTACTGCAGGAAACAGAACAAAATTACTAAAATGAAATTATTGATCAGATAAAGGTTTCAATGATACCGTTGTGAATCCGGCATTGCATTTTCACATTAAGAGCGACTTACTGTCCCTTTATTAAAAACTCACAAATCTGCACTTAAACTTTTTAGTTTTAAATATTCATTTTCTAAAATTATATCCAGATCAAATAGGTTCTAGTACAATAGATGGCAACGTAGAATTTCTACACTATGTACAGCTGTATTCTTACGTCACCAGTGTCAACTTGTTTTTTTTTTGTCCGACAAAATTATTTATAATAGTAATAATTTTAGAATAAAGTGCTTATCTTACAGTAAAATAAGTGCAATTTTATGTGTATTTTAGTTTTTACACTTTTTTATTTAATCTTGTAAAACATGTCAACTAATGTGATAAAATTTCGTTTAACTTGTATATTTGACAATTATGACATCATGTACAATGGTTCATTTCTCATTTGCAACCTTGATAAAGTATTTGATCCAGATGATATATTTAATATACGTTTATATACAAATATAGCCACACCGTGGAATCTGTTTTTTTCTATTATTTATATCAGCATTATTAAAAAAGGTGAGCTCGTCTATATTTAAAAAAATAATTTTAAATGAAAAAAATATATTTTCCTTTTAGAAAAAAAACTGTTGTTGAAACAGATTATCATAAATTTGATTATTATTTTTTAGATATAAATTTATTGGATCCTGTTTGGATAAATGATTTTTTAACGATGTAAGTTTCCTTGAATTTTATTTCTTAGATCTAAATTTAAAGGGACTGTGAGCGCACTTTTAAGTGACTCTCCATGCAAAAATTGCAGTTTACGATTCACAACAGTACCCTTATAAAAGCTTTTGTCTGAGAAAGTATGACGTATATATCATTGATTATAACTTTAAAACCCGATTATTTTCAATTGTGTTTTCTCTATAAAAGGTGACTTACCCATTTATGTAGCAGAAAAACGTACGGGAATTAATACTTTTCAAAAAAAACTACCATAGTTTCCACATTATTAGTCGTTTAAAGGTTTTAAGTGTATAGTACCATTGTGATTCGGTAACCGCCATCTTTGCATACACGTACAGTCTCTGTAATACTAACCAAAAACAGCATTTATCCCAAAAATCCAAACTGGAAGGTAGGGGTGGACACTAGACAATCCCCCCACCCAGGGGGCTAGAATTCCGCCCAGTCGTCCTAAATATTTTTAAACATTTTAATTATCATTTATTTACGAATATCAACACGTGACACATGTTGTTATATAGATATTTACACATACATCAAGTGCTTTTTGAATATCTATATAACAACACGTGACACATATGTTGTTATATAGATATTTACACATACATCAAGTGCTTTTTGAATATGTACATTTTCAGATTGTTTTCAATCTTCATGACAGAAACACATATCTCTAGAACTGAAGAGGGTTCAACTAGCTCAGAACATATCTCTAGAACTGAAGAGGGTTCAACTAGCTCAGAACGAGATTTATTTTTAAAAATGTGGAACTAATACCTACTTTATTAACTCTATGAGATTTATGAGATTTGGATCAACAAAATCCAATTTTAATTATAGATTTGCCACTAAAACTAAAATATCTAATATCCCTAATGGATTCACAAAAAATGATCAAATATACTTTTTTACAAGGAAATATAACATTTTCCTCCTTAATTTGAGTACTAAATAATAACTAGAATGTTATCCCATCAAATCGACGGATAAAGGAATAGAGGTTTGTCTCAAATCAAATTTTCTAATGCCTATAGCTTATATAAACTGATGATGTAAACCTTTGACATTTCATCTAAGAAGGTCTACAAAATTACGTTGCTCAGATATAGGGATTGGAAGATCAGAGTTTGTGGCAAAGACTTAGATCTTTTATAGATTTTTTACCTATAAAAGAAGCACTTCCAATTGCTCCAGTCCTAATAACAGTTGGAAATATCTCTGTGCTGTAAATGAAGAGTGTCGCAAATGCAAAGGTAATGCAAGTTTTACCAAAGAGAGCTAACATCATTACACACCAGTTACCTGATTAAAAATAGGATTACAGACATTGCAAGATTGTGTTTTTAGCTTTTCATAAATAAACATTTTTATTGACTACGCATATTTGATATTGACTAAACATATTTGATATTGACTAGACATATTTTATATTGACTAGGCATATTTTATATGACTAGACATATTTGAATTGACTAGACATATTTGATATTGACTAGACATATTTGATATTGACTAGCATTTTTGATATTGACTAGACATATTTGATATTGACTAGGCATTTTTGATATTTACTAGGCATTTTTGATATTGACTAGGCATTTTTGATATGTCAATGAGAGAGGTTGTCTTTTTGTATTGGTATCCAAGTACTGCGTAGGTATATGGCTACAATGCATGAACATTGAATATAGTCCAATTTTTTAAGGCCAGCTCATTGGAAAAAAAATTAGACCGCTAACTTTAATAGTTTATATGTAACACACCCTCCACACCCACATTTGTTTAGTGTTTACACACCATTTTCTAGGGCTGTTCAATAATGTTATAGTTTTTATGTTCTGATAGCTTTCATGACAAAGAAATTGCAATTTCTGTTTTGAAGGTACAAAAGAAGGCAGAAAACGATATATTAAACCAAGGTACTAATGCAAGGAAAGTTATTTCAGAGGTATACGCATTTTTTGTACTGCAGTGTACTGTCTTTGGGCGGATAAGTAAACACAAGGCGGAATCAATGTTCACAAAAATAATCTATGAAATATTCTGGTCATAGGAAACTATTATGTGAATTTTTAAAGTTATCAAAATTAAATGCTTTTATCCTCCTCGGATACTGGACGAACACTGATGCATCTATTCTTGTTTACAAATTCCGCCCATAGAGAACTGGTTTCAATATGTACGCAGAGCATATGCGACCGCATTTAACTTTCCTTGCATTAGTACCTTGTATTAACCATTATTTTGGACACCCTGCATTAGTTACCTTGTGGTACTAGACTAATACAGAGAAGAGATAACCCTGATAAAATCATTGAGATGCAATAAGGAAATCGTCTTCCGTATCTGAGGAGAACAAAGATGGCCAGGATATAAGCAGGGATCTCAAGTAAACCTGGTCAAAATAAACTGTTAAACATATTTGACTTTTACTGTTTACGCCAGGATTAGAAATTTAAGCGATAATATGGAACCAATCTTCCGATTTTCCTTTTTGGATTTGAAAAATCAAAACAGAAAAAGAGAATGTAAAGAAACGACATGAAATAATATTTCTTGATACAAATATTGGTATCTATTGAGCATCAGCTTGATTGTTCCTAATAGAAGTCAAAAGACTGTTCAAATCTGATATTGATATCGAGCACTGTGATTTTGCCAGGCTACATTTGTTGCATATAAAACGCGCTTTACATTGGGTTGTTTAGAATGGACAGTACAACTAGATGCACATATAGTACATATTGTATCGGCTCGGATCATGCAGCGATTGGAGTAGTGTGCGCGAGATCAATGCTTGATCTTGATTTTTTATTAATCTTCAGATTTATTCTTTATTTTATATACTGCATGGTAATCGTTAGGGGCTGAAGGAAGCTTTGATCAGGGGAGACATAATTAAAATGAAGAGAATAAGCATTGATCCATTAAGTTAAAAGTGCCTACAGTGGATATCGTGATCAAGAGATTGGTATTATGACAAAAGTTCCTTCATCCACATTTTTTTTTGTTGATTCTCAATTTGCCCAGAGCTATACTAGTCGAAATCAAAATATGTTGAGATTTTGAAAGTTTGGAAATTGTTATCAACCAAAATAGAAAAACAAATTGAAAATAAAAATTTGCAAATTGTCAACTTGAATCTTGTTACCTGATAAGGAGAAATTAATAAAGACATCCCCTCCCAGATCCCCGCTATTTAGGGTTAGTCCAAAGTAAACAAATGCATTCACAAAGAAATTATACCAAATGATGAAGGTCTTTGACCGCATGTTGGGTGTCCTAGAAAAAAAATAATGAATTTTTATTTTATACAAATTTATAACAATAAATTGTTTCAAATTGTTATGGTCGCAATTCGCCCCTAGGAAGATTTTTTGATTAAAGAAATTCTTTAAATATTTCAAATCGATTGAAAAGCTAAATATAAATTAACAAATAGTTTGTTTAACTTTAGCGAATTGAAAAAAAAGAAATGTCATGAAACGACTTATACCAAAATCAAAAAAATTATGATACTTATTCGTAAACTAAAGTAGAATAGGACTTTTTAAAAATAAGAAATAATAGTTTTAATATGACTAAAATAATGAATAATTTGAAAAATGAAAATGAGCAATGAGCAATAAACATTAAGTAATGAGCAATGAGCAGTGAACAATGAACAATGAACAATAAACAATCAATAACAACAAAGTATAAGAAGTGAACGATAAAAATAAACAATGAACAATTGAACAAAAATGAATAATTTATACTAAACACTGAGCAAAGCAAATAAACAAACCTAAAAATGTCAAAAATGTTTGTTTTCTTATCGTCTGCATCTGATGTCTGGACAGGGTGAAGTTTCCAATCTGCGGGAAGTTCTTTTTTGTTGGATTTTCCAACATTGCGAATAATTTGTTCAGACTGAAAAAAAATGTTTTCCCTGGAAACCAAAAACTGTACACTCTTCATAATTTACATCTCTGGAACCTGATGGTTTAAACGGTTGATATTTCATACATAAACTATATGTATCAGAACACATAGTTTGAAAGATCAGGCTGCAAAGATATAGTAATTCAAAATTATAATTTTTGGCGAGTTTTCAGGTTTTTTTTTACAATTTATGAGTTACATGTTTGTTTCATTAAATATTAAACCATAGGGTGGTAAAAACACCCCTCCCCATCGTTACAGGGTTAATAGAGTTGCAATATTCTATTAAATTTATTCTAATCTTTAATTCTCTATTTAGAAAATTGAGCCACTTACCCAAATTCTAATTTTTCTTATAATTAAAAAAAGGGCCTTCCATTAGTGTCTCAGTTTGCTAAAGGCAGAAGATATGATCAGGCCTGGCAGGGTTCTTTCTTTATTTTTGTTTTTCTAAATTTTTAGGTGTTTTAGCTTTAAAAATTTAAGACATTTGATAATTTGTACAATGTACACATTTTAAGTAGTTAAAGTTAATTTTTAATTATTTATAATATACGTTTTTTAATATAAATATTTGGTATGGTGTCTCATCTTTTTAGAATGAAAAGCTAGTTATATATTTAAGAGAAAAGTGTTGACATAGAAAACATTTTTATAATATATTGAGATTTTTAAAGATTTTTATAAAGCCAGAAAAAAAAAACTTTGATTGCTTCAAAACGAATTATGAATACTTTACCATTAGTTCAAATTTTTCTTTTCTAATAGTTAAAAAAAAAACAGCAAAATTACATCAAGTAGCCAAGTCAGCACAACAAAAAACTATTTTACAGAAAGTGACTAATAAAAGTAATAAAAACATCCAACCCTTTAAATTTAGACAGTTTTTATCAAACCCGAACTATAGTTGCTTCAAAAGTTGTGATATTCAAATATAAATTCTTCTAGAAGAATCTAGAAAAAGTTAAAATATTCTTTTACCTTCTCCAACTTGTGAGTTGCTATGAGCCATCTGGGGTTTTCAGGAATAAACCAGTAGAGAAGAAAGGCTAGTGTAGAAGGGAGGGATACTACCAACATTAGTGTACGCCAGGACCTGGGGTGGTTATATCAATTTAACGAAGCACGACTTTCGATTTAAATTTTGATTTATACCAAGATTTTAAACCTGTAAACAAAGAGAAGCTGTTAATTTAAAAAGCTTCTCTTGAATTATTTGTAAACTTACAATTCGAAAAAAGTCTGTTAACAATTAAAACTTTTTAAAAAAGTCGTCTTCGTTATGTTGATATAATCGCCTATCACCGTACACGTATTGTGGTTAACAGTTTTGGTTCGTGTTTTTTGACATATTTTCTCTCATAGCCATAGTTTAAGAAAAGCAAATGATATCAAACTTTGACCCTGAGAGAAAAAATATATACAACACGCACCCTTGACCCTTTAGAAAAAGTAAATTCAACCTAAAGTCTGACCCCGCCGTCAACCTTGTTGCACCGGCTAGTCCTATCTACTTTATTTAACCAATCCGGACGATACAGAACAAACTGGGACTGGAAAGGTTGACCCAGCTCGGAAATTAAAATGTACCACGGCTGCCCGTGAAAAGTAAACGAAACAATAAAATATTTTAAGTGTGGAATATTTTATGTTTAGAAAACAAACTTTACCGTTTCAAAACACTAACTGCTGTATAGATGGACATAATTTTGCATTTTTAACAGACAAGGTTTTTATTTTAAAATGGATTATTATTGTAATTTTAAGTGAGTTACAGTCGGTAAGGCCTTTTTTGATAGAAACCTAAGGACAAAGCAAATATATAAATCGGAGGGAAATTTGCCTGATGAGATATCCGAGTAAGGCTAAGATTAACCACCCTCCCACCCAGAAGAACTCTAGACCCATTCCTACAATAGTGTTCCACTTTCCTCCAACTAAACATTAATTAATTATTCTACAATGTTTGTGTAGTTTCTAGTGACACTCATGGAAAAATGAAAGTGTACGACGACTGTATCCTCTAAACAAAGAGAATAGAATATATATTAGAGGGGAATTTACTAGAAAAAAGTGTAAAACGGCCATTTTCTTGTACTGTTTCCATACTGCAGGTGTACTTCACATATTTATGCTATATAACCTTTTGGGCCCTAGAATATCATTTCATAGAAAATCTAAAATTAATATTAAAAGAAAACTAAATCATGAAATAGGCTGGTTTCATAATTGACCAATGATCATTTCACATAGACTCTATGCCTTCCACTTTACAAACGATGATTATCCGTTATAACTTTTATATTTTTTATTCACCTAATTCATTATAAAGTTTATTAACAGCTTTTAAAAATTCGGAATTGAAATGGATAGTCTAGGGAACATACTGTCCTAATGTACTCTACTTCATATAATTTGTGAACATTTACATGATTTGTACACTTTGAACTCCCTTTCAGGCTGAAAGGGACTGAAAGAATGCATACCGAGAGATTCTCTGAATTCCCCTCTAATATATATTCTATTATCTTTGCCTCTAAAGCCTTGGCTGCATTATGTAACATATTTCAATGTTAGTATTTTGAAACCTTCAGATTAATTTTCAATTATGATCGAATAAAGGTATCAAAGGTATTGTTGTGAATTGGGCATTGCCATCTTTGCTTGAATGGTCAATTAAAAATACACTTACGGTCCCTTACGTTCCTAATCCAGACTACAGGTAAATCGTATATTTGAATTTTGAATATAATTTAACCCAGAATTACGTCTAAATAATTAATGTTGTTTTAATTTATTAAGTTTAAATGGTAGGAATAGCACATATTTAAATAGCATAATCTGAAAACCTATAATTTGTCTGGAAAAAACGTTGTCATTATATAATTATTAAAGATCAAAGATGATCTTCTAGCAAATCATGTTTATGTATCTACATATTTCTTTACTGTCGGTGTAAGTATATCATACTTTGTGGGACACCCTGAATCTATATATTTCTTTACTGTAGGTGAAAATATATCATATTTTGTGGGACACCCTGTATCTATATATTTCTTTACTGTAGGTGAAAGTATATCATATTTTGTGGGACACCCTGTATCTATATATTTCTTTACTGTTGGTGAAAATATATCATATTTTGTGGGACACCCTGTATCTATATATTTCTTTACTGTAGGTGAAAATATATCATATTTTGTGGGACACCCTGTATATACCTAGTTCTATACTGTAAGTGAACTGTGTTTCCCAGATTCCAATGAGAAAGAAAGCATTGATGACTCTAGATAAATAGATAATTAAAGTTCAATAAATAATTACAACAGAAATCGCAAATTTTATTTATTCTTTCATTTATTTCCTTGCCTCTGCTGCATAACTCTGCAGGGTTCGTTGCTTTAGAGAACCAACACATGAAGCATAGCCATTTTCAGATGTGAAAACAAATATATCTCAATAGTTTTTACATTTACAAGATGTGCTGTTGTGAATCCGGTATGTAACTAATCTTGAAATTAAGAGTCACATGTAATTACGCCGCAATTCTTTTTAATATAAAAAAACATTAAAAAAAATATAAAAACTTCTTGTGTCAACAATATCTTTTACCTTGCTGTCATAAATACTTCAAAGTTGGGAGCTAAGGAGGTACCAATACCTACAAATGTAAAAAAACGTTTTCATGATTTTCCCAATATACCAAACTTAGTGTTTTTTTTTCTATATTAACCACAGGGTTAATATAGGATAAGATTCAATGACGACCTAACTATATTTTATTTCAACAATCTAATGCCTTGAATAAAGAAATATTAAATGATTTTCTATAGAAAGAAACCAGTTTAAAGCCATGGGTCGAATCATGTGTATTTAAAGAAAAATACTAACTAAATTCTGTACAGTCGTCTCTGCACTCTGAAGTTTTATCTTTAGTGGGTCTAGGTAACCCTTTTTGATGTTTTGTGAATTTAATTTTGTTTTTAAATTAACCATTGTTTCTTTTAGTCATTGTTTCTTTTAGTCTGGAAATTGTAGTATTATTACTTTATTCTAAATGCTGAATAGGAATCTAAAAATGTATTTAAAAGTTTTGTTAATTGGGTCTACTCAATTGATTTTCATTTGCAAAATCTTTAAATGACGTTGCTCACTGCCTTATCAAAATTTATCATGTTGCATAATATTTACTTGAGTATTACTTAACAGTTTTAACAAAAGAATTATGTCTTTGCCACAAACTCTGATTTTCTCATCCGTATTTTTTCAGTTCAATGTCGTACATTTTAGATATTTCAAACTATAAATTTTATTAATTTAAATTATCCAAGTTTGAACATAAAAAAATACCATCCACCAATTTGAATTTCATGTAAAAAATTATCCTGATATTAAATTTGTTTCATTTTCCGCCTAAGAGAGAAAACAAAAATGTTCCTAAATTCCTTTTTTTAAAAGAAATAACTCTAGAGATTTTAAAAACTAAAATGAAAAATAAAGAATATATACCTGACCCTGCTACACAGATAAGTAATGGAATAATTACAGTTTTCCTTCCCACATAATCAGCTAAACAATTAACATAATCAGCTAAACAATTAACATAATCAGCTAAACAGTTAACATAATCAACCATACATTTAATACAATAAGATAAACATTAAATATAATTAGCTAAACAATTTATACAATCAGTTAACTAATTAAAATAATTTAAACAATTAACTTAATCAGCTTACCAATTTAACTTAATCAGCTAAACAGTTAACATGATCAACTATACATTTAATACAATCAGATAAACATTTAATATAATCAGATAGAAAATTAACATAATCAGCTAAACAATTAATATAATCAGCTAAACAATTAACATAATCAGCTAAACAATTAACATAATCAGCTAAACAATAAGTATTATCAGCTAAACAATAAACATCATCAGCAAAACAATAAATATAATTAAAGAAACAATTAACATAATCAGCAAAATAATTGACATAAGCAGCTAATCACAAAGATTGTGTTTCTAATTTATATTTACCTAGAACTCCGAAAGTGAAAACTCCAAATATCATTCCAATAAAATAAAGAGTCTGAGCAGTGGATACAAGATATTCACGACTACAGACAAGATTAAACTCTCCTAAAATACAAGACTAAACTCTCCTAGAATACAAGACTAAACTCTCCTATAATATAAGATTAAACTCTCTTAAATACAAGATTAAACTCTCCAAGAATACAAGACTAAACCCTCCTAGAATACAAGACTAAACTCTCCTATAATAAAAGATTAAATTCTCTTAAATACAAGATCAAACTCTACTAGAATACAAGATTAACCCCTCCTAGAATACAAGATTAAAACCTCCTAGAATACAAGATTCAACTCTCCTAGAATACAAGACTAAACTCTCCTGTAATATAAGATTAAACTCGCTTAAATAAAAGATTAAACTTTCCTAGAATACAAAATTAAACCTTCCTAAAATACAAGATTAAACTCACCTAGAATACAAGATTAAACTCCCCTAGAATACAAAGTGAAACTCTCCTAGAATAATAGATTTAACTCTCCTAGAATACAAGATTAAACTCTCCTAAAATACATTATTTAACTCTCCCAGAATACAAGATTAAACTCTACTAGAATACAAGATTAAACTCTCCTAAAATANTTACCTGTTAAACTGAATAGAGTCCAGGTAGTGTTAATAATCTAGTTTACCTGTTAAACTGAATAGAGTCCAAGTAGTGTTAATAATCTAGTTTATCTGTTAAACTGAATATAGTCCAGGTAGTGTTAATAATCTAGCTTACCTGTTAAACTGAATATAGTCCAGGTAGTGTTAATAATCTAGCTTACCTGTTAAACTGAATAGAGTCCAGGTAGTGTTAATAATCTAGTTTACCTGTTAAACTGAATATAGTCCAGGTAGTGTTAATAATCTAGCTTACCTGTTAAACTGAATAGAGTCCAGGTAGTGTTAATAACCTAGTTTACCTGTTAAACTGAATAGAGTCCAGGTATTGTTAATAACCTAGTTTACATGTTAAACTGAATAGAGTCCAGGTATTGTTAATAATCTAGTTTACCTGTTAAACTGAATAAAGTCCAAGTAGTGTTAATAATCTAGTTTACCTGTTAAACTGAATATAGTCCAGGTAGTGTTAATAATCTAGCTTACCTGTTAAACTGAACATAGTCCAGGTAGTGTTAATAGCCTAGTTAACCTGTTAAACTGAATTGAGTCCAGGTAGTGTTAGTAATCTAGTTTACTTGCTAAACTGAATAGAGTCCAGGTAGTGCTAATAATCTAGTTTACCTGTTAAACTGAATAGAGTCCAGGTAGTGTTAATAATCTAGTTTACCTGTTAAACTAAATAGAGTCCAGGTATTGTTAATAATCTAGTTTACTTGTTAAACTGAATAGAGTCCAGGTAGTGCTAATAATCTAGTTTACCTGTTAAACTGAATAGAGTCCAGATACTGTTAATAATCTAGTTTACCTGTTAAACTGAATAGAGTCCAGGTAGTGCTAATAATCTAGTTTACCTGTTAAACTGAATAGAGTCCAGGTAGTGTTAATAATCTGACAGGACTGGTTGACCTGCCCGCTTACTGTACGCCAGGTAGACAGGTTTAGTGAAGACAGATGAGCTGGCCGGGCACACCAACTTTCTACCTGGAATTAAATATGATTATTGGACTACAAGACTAAACTTCAAATGACCTTTAAAATGATCTTTAAAATAAAAAGATGTAGTTGATTTTAAAATACATTAATGTTTCAAATTTTTTTTTCGATCTTGTTACAAAGCAAATATTTACAGTAGAAGTTTAAAAATCACTTTTTAACGCAAAATTATCTGTCAACATCGCATAATTGGTAAAGCTCATGTTCAATGGAATATCTTAAATCATAATTTAACTCTAAATAATTCTTCTAACTAGTTTTCCGGTTTTCATTGTATGTAAAACTTTCTGATTGAAAGACTGAATCCTGCAAGAGATGACAAAAAAGGCATAAAGAAGTGACAGCATATTTTTGTTAAATCAAGAATGAGTATAAAGAAAATTTTCTGCATAAGCTGTTAAGGCAAAACTTTCCCCACACTTCATTCCCCTTTCTACCTTTCCCTTTTCTCTAATTCTCCCATCACTATCATCCCCCCTTTCCTCTTCCTCTTTATTTCCTCTCTTTCCCCTTTCTTTTCCGTCCCTTCTTCCCCCCTTTCCTTACTAACCTCCCCCCCCTCCCTCCTATCATTAATCTATGAAATGGGTTTAGTTTAATCCAAATGTGTTACTTGAAAATGGACTTGAATACAGAATTATATCCCATTTTGTTAAATAATGTAAAAGACATAATTTAAAATGTGTTCTCATTACAGTTTTTTGCTGAAAATCGAATATCTAAAATTTGTTTTGTGACCACATCATCAGCAAATCCATTGATTTATTTTGTGACCACATCATCAGCAAATCCATTGATTTATTTTGTGACCACATCATCAGCAAATCCATTGATTTATTTTGTGACCACATCATCAGCAAATCCATTGATTTATTTTGTGACCACATCATCAGCAAATCCATTGATTTATTTTGTGACCACATCATCAGCAAATCCATTGATTTATTTTGTGACCACATCATCAGCAAATCCATTGATTTATTTTGTGACCACATCATCAGCAAATCCATTGATTTATTTTGTGACCACATCATCAGCAAATCTGGCTAGTTGCTTGGTGGCAAATTAAGGACAAGACAAACATAGGACTAGAACAAATATATAGGACAGAAAAAACGCTGGACAAGACAATCGTAGGACAAGGATGTAAATAGAAGACAGACAAACGCAGGACAAGGACAAAAGTAGGACTGAAAGAAATAAGGAACACGACAAACACAGGACAAGAACAGTATATGACAGAAATAAACGATGGACAAGACAAATTTTAATATAGTAAAAACTCAAATATACTGAATTCAAAACCAAATGTGTGTGTTTTTTTCAGTAAAACTAAAATATCCTTTTTTTCAAAAGTTAAAATTTAACAGTAAGTTTTGAGCCTTTGATTTTTCTAAATACAGAGGCGGGCTAGTTTTGAAAAATCTTTACGAAAATAAAAATGATAATGTTTTGTTTGTCATCTGAAAACATTTTTGCATTTCTATTTAAACAAAAATATTTCGTTTTAAACGTTAGAATATTTTAAAAGTAAAACTGTTTGGTCGGCAAAAGTTTTAAAACGTTCATTTTAAAACATCATATATTTGATAAAAAAAATTTTGATTTTTGGAATTTACTGTGTAACTGCAAAAATCTCCAACTCATAACTAACAACTTTTCTTTTATTTCTGGTTAATTTTGTATTTATGAACTTCATGATCAGAATATACATTGAGACATTATTTACCTTTGCATTCATGAACTTCATGATCAGAATATACATTGAGACATTATTAACCTTTGCATTCATAATCTTCATGATCAGAATATGCATTGAGACATTACTTACCTTTGCATTCATGAACTTCATGATCAGAATATGCATTGAGACATTATTAACCTTTGCATTCATAATCTTCATGATCAGAATATGCATTGAGACATTACTTACCTTTGCATTCATGAACTTCATGATCAGAATATGCATTGAGACATTATTAACCTTTGCATTCATAATCTTCATGATCAGAATATGCATTGAGACATTACTTACCTTTGCATTCATGAACTTCATGATCAGAATATGCATTGAGACATTATTAACCTTTGCATTCATAATCTTCATGATCAGAATATGCATTGAGACATTACTTACCTTTGCATTCATGAACGTCATGATCAGAATATACATTGAGTTAACCTTTGCATTCATAATCTTCATGATCAGAATATGCATTGAGACATTACTTACCTTTGCATTCATGAACGTCATGATCAGAATATGCATTGAGACAGGAGTACAGAACAGTCCCAGGATAAAAATAGTTCTGACAACAAACATTCATTAGGTATATTGTAATTTTCATATGCAATAAGACTTAAGGTTTTACAGAAAACTTCGTGAAAGTATGTTTTTACGAGGGAAATGCGAAAAAGATGATTACCCCATTTCTCTGGGAGCCCTAATTGAGACATGATTACTATGTAGTGATTTCGTTGAATTACAGTCCTTTCATAGGGTGTTCAAGCATAACTTTCAAATTAGAGCATTAACTCTTTAATTATGTATGTTTTTTCAGACCTACAAATAATCATTTACTTTAGATTTTTCTTATTGAGAGACAGAGTGAGAGAACAGGCTTAAAAATGGCCGAATTAAAAGTTTTTTGTTTTGATTAAAATAGTATTTATATGATATTAATATGTCAACGAGGGAGAAGAGGGAAGATGGGGGAGGGAAAAAGGGAGGGAGGAATAGGAGTTGGGGGGATGGGGTAGGGAAAGGGTCGAGGGGGAGGGAAGGGAGAGAAGGAAGGAGGGAAGGGGCCGGGGGGAGAAGGACAGAGAAAAGTTAATTTCTGTTTTAATAAGATCAATTTTTTCAAAGGTTTTCAGTTTAATTATTCCACCATGACAAATGTATTCAGCAAAATTTAAACTTCGTTAGTCATAATTTAATAATATCAGAACTTTTTCAAACTTTAATAAAGATTTATTCTACACAGACTAATCTAGAATAGAACCTTTACTATACTAAGAAAAAATAAATGGCATCAACAAAAATTTCCATTTTAAAGGGTTAAAAATTCGCCAAATAAAACAGGAAAGTCTACGATAAGTTTTTTTTATCAAAAATCAAACCTTTCTTATTTTTTATAAAAAATATGAATGTTCCTAAGCTGCCATTGTCCTATATTGCCGACAGCGGAGAGATATTGGTCCTTTTCGTCTTCTTCTTTTTTCTCCTCATCATCCATTTTGTCCTCATTGTCCAAAGTTACTTTTTTTCCTAAAATGTGTGCATCCTCCATTGTTCTAAAGAAACCTCTGAAGTTAAATTTAACAAAGAGTTGAATTACAGGGTTGCCTACAAAGGATGAGACTGTACTGTACTGTACTGTACTGTACTGTACAGGGTTGCCTACAAAGGATGAGACTGTACTGTACTGTACTGTAC